CAATTTTAAAATAAGAAATTCAAAAATTATGTCCGATAAGTATTCAAAAATATTTATTTATTTTATCAATAAAGATTTCTCATATTGATTTTAAATCACAAATCAAATCTTTATTTTATTTTTCTTATTAGTAATAATTTTTTTCGATTTATTCTAATTTAAATCATAAATAAAATCTTTATTTTTTATATTAAAAATTAAAAAAAATGATTTAATTTGGATATCGCACAGTACATGATACATATCGTATCGTACAACATAAATCTCTTTTTGATACATCTCACGATACGTATTGTTCTTGTGATTCGTATCGTATCGTACGAACTGTATCATGTACGTACAGAAAGTATAATATTTTTAGCCAATAATCTGATGGTATGAGCCACAGGAATTCGCCATAAGGTTTGAGGATTGAGCTATTGTCTATATTCATTACTGATTTTACTTGATTGATACAAGGATATTATTCATATTTCCATAGTCCTCAACTAAAGCTCAATCAGATTTATATCAATTTCCTAGGTGTGTAATCTTCTGACAGAAAATTCATTTTTGCCAATTGTCATGCTTTGGTAGTCTTATATCACTAGGATGGATTGTCCTATCTCTAAGAACTGTATTTAATATATAATTATTATTATTTATTTCCTTTTTGTAGGAAAGATTCTTGATATTATTGAAATTCTATGTCAAATATGTCGCGGATGACAATGATATCTTGTACCCATGTCTATATATAAACGAGCTCATAATCCTATGTTGGCATGTTTTGTTTTTGCTTTCTCCCTTAACTAACGTTTGTTTCAATGGCTTCCTTGCAATTCCAAAACGTTAGGTATGAGTTTACCAATGCCATGAGAAGCTTCCATGGGAAGCTAAAGCTTATTCTCTGTGGTGCTCTCTTCATCTTTTGGTTCTGGTCTTTGTTCTCAAGTACTGTCCAAGCATTGTGGCTTGTGTGCAGCAACCCAACCTACCACTTCTACGCCGCTTTTGTAATAGCAAATGCCATTTTATTGATCTGTTGTTTTCTCTCTCACAAAAACACTGGTAGCTCCAACCTCGACGACATCAACTACGATTTTTTCAACATTTTCAACCACATCGAGTTTCAAGATAACTACATTGGAGACCTCATCCACTCGGATCAAGTTCAAGATATATATCCCTCAGGCCTTAACCATCAATTAAGTACCATCAATTAAGTAATGCTATTCTTATTTTTATTTCTCAGTGTCAAGATCATAACTTCAAATCAGCTATTGAAAAATTAAAGTTTGATGAGCATAGCTATTCTGAGTTGATGAAAGAGCGTGATGAATTCAAGAAAAATTTGAAGACTCAGATCTCCGAGTAGCTGAATTGGGAATGGAGGTTGACACATTAAAATCCAAGGTATCCGACCTAGAGGAGGCCGCAATTGATATGGACAGCAAATTTGAAGCTTATGGTCAACAAATTCGCGGTTGGGTACTAGACCAAATGGGCTTCTTCAACCCGGGAGTACTTCTTCAAGACTTGCACAAAATCGGAACTTTTAGTTTTGTGAAATATGGCCATTTGTGTACTCACGGCGAGGAAGGTCAAACAATTGTTGTTGCAACTTGCCCTTCTGAAGTCGTCATTGTTAACCCAGACTCCACAAATACTACTAACTTGGGAGAGGCTTCTGGACCAAATCAAGAAGTTTAAAGGGGGTTGTATGCCACCATGTATTTGTACCTTTTATTTGAGCCGGAAATGTCGCCTTTACTTTTTGTATTAAACAATACTTAACTTGCTATGTATTCCTTTTTGTTTCCAGGTCTTTATTTCCTTTGCCTTTTTGTCTTTGTTATAACTTTACTCTTTCTTGGAATATCCATCTAATGAATTTCTTAGTTTTCGTTTCCGAATAGAAATTGAATGCTTGTCCAAAATACTATCTCTTGATGTCCAGGAACTTTTTTTATTTGCCTACTTCCGAGTAGGAATTGAACGGGTGACCGCGAGTCCATAAGTTGGCATCAAATGACTTTTTATTTACCCGCTTCCGAGTAGAAATTGAACGGGTGACCAAGAGTCCATCTCTGGCGTCAAGGGACTTTTTATTTGTCCGCTTTCGAGTAGGAATTGAGCGGGTGCCCAAGAGTCCATCTCTGGCGTCAAGGGACTTTTTATTTGTCCGCTTTCGAGTAGGAATTGAGTGGGTGCCCAAGAGTCCATCTCTGGCGTCAAGGGACTTGATATTTGCTAGCTTCCGAGTAGGAATTGAACGGGTGCCCAAGAGTCCATCTCTTAGCGCCAAAGGACTTGATATTTCCCCCCTTCCGAGTAGGAATTAAACAGGTGCCCAAGAGTCCATCTCTTAGCGTCAAGGGACTTGATATTTTCCCCATTCCGAGTAAGAATTAAACGGGTGCCCAGGAGTCCATCTCTGACGTCAAGGGACTTTTTATTTGCCCGCTTCCGAGTAGTAATTGAACGGGTACCCAAGAGTCCATATTTTGGCATCAAGAGACTTGATATTTGCTTGCTTCCGAGTAGGAATTGAACGGGTGCCCAAGAGTCTATTTCTGGCGTCAAAGGACTTGATATTGACAAACCCATATTGATAACTCGAAGTATTTTACGTATGATACTCCAAGTTGGGAAGCTTAATGTTCTGGGTTTGTAACTTGGGCTTCATTAAGCATAACTGAGGTTTATACTCGGATAAGAAGAACCGGCTTGTTTCTATCCATATACACGGAACCCAAGATAGGAGCCCGAAATATGGGCCCTAACCCATGTTTTATTAGCACACGTGGGCTCTACTACGATCTCAATAACCATTGTTAACTATCCACGATCATTATAACACTAAAGGATCAATTTGACTGAGTACTGTGTCCCCTGTACATTAACCTTGTGTCCCCTGTACATTAACCTGCTTATTATACATATATATGGTCTGGTTAAGGGTTATAATGATCGTGGATAGTTAACAAGGGTATGGTTATTGAGATCGTGGTAACGCCCACGTGTGCTAATAAAACATGGGTTAGGGCCCATATTTCAGGCTCCTATCCCGGGTTCCGTGTACATGGGTTGAAAACAAATTGGTTCCTCTTATTCGGGTATAAACCTCACTTATGTTTAATGAAGCTCAAGTTACAAACCCGGAACAGATGTACTGTTTCTTATGTTATATGAGATAAATTAATCTTTTACACACATAAAAAGTATGTGAGACTTATATTTTATCTTTCTCTCTCTTATCCTTACGTGTGCCCCATATATACTTTTATGTATGTGCAGAAGATAAAATTTATTTCGTATAACATAAAAAATATTAATCTCTAGTTTAATTTTGAAAACATTAATTTTCATATTTAGTTGAATAAGTTAATAATAATTTTTATATATTTTATGTGATTCCCATAAAAATTTATAATAAAATTACTACGAGTTCAAAAAATTATTCGTAGCTTTGAAGTAACATTAACACCAATAATATCTTTCTCTATGTGAACTTTTAATTGAAGTGATGGTTTTGATTACTTTCTGCGCAGATTCTCAATTTCTTGAATCGAACTTCTAACTTGGACACAAGCGTAAGCAACCATGTATATACTCGATTAACAATTTGGGAATTATATTTATGAAATAATTTTGTACCATGTTATACATAAAAAGAGGTAAGATCTTTTGATGTCAGTGTCAAATTTGAAATTTGACACCTCATCTGAGAGCCATTAGATCAAAAAAGATCAATGGTATCACATGCTTACAAATTAGAGTCGTTGATCTTTTTTTATCTAATGACTCTCAGATAAGATGTCGAATTTTAAATTTAACACTGTTGTTGTCAAAAAATCTTACCTCCATAAAAAAATAGGTAGAGTTTATTAAAAAAAATAAGAGAGAAAAAAAATTGATCCCCTATTTTTTGTATGGGCATAAAATAATTTTGTCTCAAGAGACATATTTCGCTAACAATTTATATGAATTTCTATCTAATGACACCATGAATTGAATCAAGAACAAAAAAAAAAGTGTTAGAGACCGATATATTACAATTTGTTTTTATTTTATTTTCATATGGAACTTATCAAAATCAAATAATTCAAATTCAACGCGCTCCACTTCCCGAACGCAAAACGACAAAACGTGTCACGATAGGATCGTGCCGGCGACGAACGACAGCTTCTGCTTTTCTCGAAGCGGTGGTGACCTCCAAAACGCAAACCTCCTTTTTCTAGTTCTGGTCCCGTTTCATAATTTCAGACTCATACTAATCATTTCAAAAAAGAAAGAAAGAAATTTAAATTAATCATTTCAAAAATATATTGTCTAAATAATAAAAGAAGGGCATTTGACTAACATATTTAAATTCAATACTCTTAAATTTGTTCATAATTTTTATTTATTTAACTGTTGAATCGTGATTATCTATTTTTATAAAATCATATAAAAATTAATTATAACAAAAATAAAATTTTTATTTTCTCTTATAACAATTTATTTTTCAATATAATTTCTATTTTTTTTTTCAAATTTTTATTTTTAATGATCTAGTTACATATATATTTTTTTATTAATGATAATTGGACTCTGCTATTTAATGTATGAGGTTTGCCTTGATCTTGGGAGAGAATTTTTTTTTTTTTTTTTACAGATACAACATTTTGTTGAGCCCTTATTTTTTAAAGAAAAAAAAAATTGAAGAACAAGAAACAAATTTCTATAACATAATAAATTTTTCTTGCAATATAACTTTTATAAAATGCTGAAAGAAAGAGATAAACACAATATTTATACATATCATGTGAATTTTTATTATAGGAGGATCACTCCCAATATAATATAACATAATTTAAATGGTTGAATTTTGAATCCAACAATAAGTTTTAAATTACATAAGAATTTTCACTTCTCTTCGTGATGAAAATTACATTCATAACCTTTAAGTGATTAAATTAGTATTCAAATCACTGCTTCAAATTCTTGAGTAGAAACCATTTTGACACAAAAAAATACGTATAATTTTCGTCTTCGAACACTAATATAATGTAACGATGATATAATCAATTTTTCTATTTCCTCAGACGAAGAAAAAGAGAAGAGAAGGAACCGAAACACAGAGAAGAACACGAAGAAGAAGAAGAAGAAGAAAAGAGAGAGAGAGAGAGAGAGAGAAGGTGATGACGATGGACAGAGAGAAAGAGAGAGAGATAGAGCTAGAGAGTGCAATGTACACAAACTGTTTGTTGTTGGGTCTGGATCCGGCAATTATCGGAGTCGGAGCATCCAATGCAACTCCTCGGGTCGGACTCTTCCGCCATTCGAACCCTAAATTAGGGGAACAGCTTCTTTACTTCATCCTTTCCTCCCTCAGAGGCCCAATTCAATCTGCCAAAGTATCATAATCCATTCTCCGAATTCCCCAATTTCATCGTTCATCCATTGATCTGTGATTTTGTAACTCTCTTTTCTCGTTTTGGATCTTTCAGGATTTCGATAAGGTTTGGCCGATTTTTGATTCCGCACAATCGCGTGATTTTCGAAAGGTATCGATTTTATTTTATTTATTTATTTTACATGAATTTTAGTGAAAATGTGTAGAAATGATTTTGAATGGTGGTGGAACGTGTTTGGTAGGTTGTGCAAGGGATTATTAGCGAGCTCGAGTCGCAGGGTGCGCTTCCCAGGAGCAATTCAAGAGTTTCTTCACTTGCTACGTGTTGTGGACCTAGGTTGGTATACTCACATGTAATTGATTACACAAGGTTTAGTTGATTTGTGCTTTTGAATGGAGTTTGTTCGCTTGATCCCCATGAGTGGATGAAGCCTGAGGGGAAAAGAGAGAGAGAGAGAGAGTTTACTTTAAGGGTATGCCTTTTTAAATTATTATTAATTGGTGCATTGTTAGTGACAAGAGTGGAGGTGGTTTTGTTAGTGGACAGATATTGACAAGTCAGTGAAATTCATGGATAACTGGATGTACTGAAACTTAAGAGAGTTATTGGAAAGAACTTCAGCACTAGTAAAAAAAATCTTTTACTTGCGATGCTTTATGATGTTGAATGTTGGGCGGTTGAGAACTAAAAAGAGTATAAGCTAAGTGTTGTAGAGATGAGGATGTTGCGGTGGGATGAGTGGATATACAAGCTAAGATACAATTGAAGAAATGAATGTATTCGAGAGAAAGTAAGGGTAGCATCTATTGAGGAAAAGATTGTAGAATCTCACCTAAACTGGTTTTCTCATGTGAGAACAAGAAAGCCTAGTAAAAAGAGTTGATCAAATGGAGAGTAGCCCAATAATTAGATATAGAGAGAAACCCAGAAAAACTCTTTAAGTGAAACCATTTATAAATACTTAGATCTAAATGACCTTTCTAAATGATCAAACACAATTGCATTGTTTGATCGTTAGAGGCATGGATCCGATCCCACTTAGTTTAATAGGCTTTTATTGTTATTGTTATATTAGAATGGGATGAGGTAATCTCATGCGTAAGATGGTTATGTTAACGACAGTTATAAAGTTATTTGAATATGTACATGTTGATGTAGGTTTGTTGAGCTTCTATGGCAACTTTCTTTGCATGCTTTACGAGAGGTTCATCGACGGACATTTACTGCTGACATAGCTTCTAACCCATTGCCTGCGCCTTTGACTGATGTAGCATTCTCACATGCAGCTACTTTACTTCCAGTTACAAAGGTATTAGTGATAATCCATTCAAATTTTTGGAAAGGATGAACTACTGTCATTATGTGCATGTGTCATCGCAATTGATACTATTATGAGGAGTGTAGCATGTTTGCTGTAGAACCAAAAAAATTTCTTAGTCTGAACTTTTACAAAAAACAGTTCTCATGTTCATATAAATGTTTTTAAGTCTTAATTAAGTCCTTTGATGTGGTACAAAAATATCAATACCACTTTTACTTTGACTGTTTCCTTGAATTCAGTACTTCATTGTCATATTGCTCATAGTGATAAATATGTTTAAGAAAATAATTTTATTTTATCGCTTTATTTATTTTTCTTTCATGTTCTTATGTTGCTAAATCAATTGGTCTTAAGTAACTCAATCGAGTCTTTGGTCTTAAACAGGCAAGAATAGCCCTTGAAAGAAGGAAGTTTCTTAAAAATGCAGAAATGGCTGTACAACGGCAGGCTATGTGGTCGAATTTGGCGCATGAAATGACTTCTGAATTTCGTGGTTTATGTGCTGAAGAGGTATATCAATAACTGAAGGCTATTTACCAAATTTAGCTTATATATATTGTACTTATCCCCTCTCCCCATCAAGAATATTCCTTATGCATTTATCTCTTAGCAATTATAATGTAAAACATGAATTAGGCTTATTTGCAACAAGAGCTGGAAAAACTGCATGACTTGAGGAATAAAGTGAAGTTGGAAGGAGAAGTGTGGGATGATCTTGTGTCCAGTTCAAGTCAGAATTCCCATTTAGTTTCAAAGGCTACTCGCCTATGGGAGTCTTTATTAGCTCGTAAAAGTAAGTGCAAATATTAATACTTTGCTTACTCTTTGCATTTGTCTAATGGATCATGTAATTCTAGGATCCCTGTTTTTAAGTTCGACTTCATCAAGTGTGGCAAGAAATTAATTATAAGTTGCTCGGGATCAGATTTATTTTTACAGTTATATCCTTTTATTAATTAGTTGACTAATAAGAAGTATATGCTCTTCTATTTGGGGTTAACCAACACATGCCTTTTTTCTTCGTCATAGCTATGCAGAATCGAAAACATTTAAAATCTTTTTTTTCTTTCTTATTTGTGATATGCTTATTATGATTTTTGTACCTAACGAGTGTTGGTGATAAACCATTGAGTTTGGGATCCTATCAATTTAAGTATGAAGGTTCCATACTGTGTCTCCCTACCACCTACAATCCTCCCTTTTTTTTTTTTGGTTTTGCTTTTTTGAAAACTGTTTCATAGAAAAGGCTAGCTAATAATGATATTGAGTTTTATTAATACTAATTTACAGGTCAACATGAAGTTCTTGCATCAGGCCCTATTGAGGATTTGATAGCTCACCGGGAACATAGGTAATGTAGTGATGTGGCTTGCCTTGCCCTTCCAATATCTGTAGACCAAATTTACCAACTCTCTTTTTGATGCATAAATTTCAGGTATCGAATTTCTGGATCATCTTTGCTTGCAGCAATGGACCAGAGTTCTCAGGCTCCTTATTCAGACGTATTATCTGGTCAGCCTGGGGATTTGCCTGCAGTGCAAATGGATAACAAAGAGGAGAATGATGGATCGCATTTTAGCAATGATACATTGACAAGAGTGGATGACAGAACTGGAAGAGTTCAGCAAACTGTTGATGTAGCAGAGGTTATACGGCGATGGACACATGCTTTGCAACGTATCCACAAACAATCGCTTCATCTGGTATGCTTTTTACAAGCTTTCGTTTAAAGATGGTACCATCTGCCCTTATGGTTCCTTTACTTGTTGCGTGGGGTTTATGGTCGCCAATGGCAGAGAACATGAAAAATGCCAAGGCAACATGGTGGATTGTGTGACAGCGACCTTCATGGAGATGGTGGTTATTTTTGAAACTGTCATATTTATTAAAATAAACTTATAAAAGGTGAATAAGATGTATTAATATCATATTTAATGAAATATCATCAGAAAACTGTAATATATTTCAGCTGAAACAAAAAAGTCCATGAAGACACAAAAATTGTCAAGGACAAAATCTCCCAAACTAATTTAACCAATAATTTACCTACAGTTAACTGACATTTCTCTTGTCGGATTGTGGTTAACTGTGGGTAAGCGTCCCACTTTCCCCACATGCCGCACTAAATCATTCTCCCAGTAATTTTTCAAATTGAGCTGAGCTGAGCCTTGATTGTTGTTTTTCAAGCTTGATAAGGCTTGGCTCAAATTTGAATATGGTATCTTCTTGTCGAAGCCAAATCTATGAACCCTGTTTCTGAGATGATTTTGGCTTGGTCTGCATTAAATTGAATGAACAAAAGAGTAAAGACACGTTTATCCCCAAAGATGCAGCATTGAGCTTTGATTTTCGTAGTTCATTCTGCCGTATATTGCTTTCACTCAGTTAACACACCTAAATGGTCCTTAAATTGTGAGAAAAAATGTGGTAAAATAAAATGTGCAGAAGTTCTGTACTCACTCTTGTGGATTCCATAGTAGTACAATAATTGTTGGCTGCCACATTTATGGCAGACACCAAAATGCTGCCTGCCAGCCTGAAGTTCCCGCGTCATGTAGGTTTTAAGCCAGGGAACAGGGATCCTGTTTGTTGCTGTGTCATTCCACCTTGGTGGCCATGCTGCTGCCAATGCTTTTTTCATCTTTTCTGTCTTTTTTTTTTTTTTCAGTCTCTTTGGAGAAGAGGCGGTGAGGTTTAAATGTCTTGGTTTTGAAGTACTCTATGACATCTTGCCATTTGTAGTTATGTGTATTCTAAAAAAACACCTTTGTTACTGCATACAGAAGTTTGATTATTGATTCGGGTTAAGGCATGAGGGTTTCATAAACTGCTTTTTTTACTAGGAAATTAATTTGATCCTTTTGAGTATGGTGCAAAAAAAGAGAACAGAATTTCCAGAACTGAAATAAGATTAACATCTAATAGTTATGCACTATTTTTCATTTATTCTCAGTTACCATCTATATTTTTGTACTGTTACTGTGAGAAGTTTTGCTTCATAAATTAGATAACATCATGACATGTGAGATTTATCGAAGTTACTAACAATCATTGCCTGTGTTTCACACCTATATGTGTGTACCTCTATCCTACAAGTGCAGATGGCTTCTGTTTTTTTTGTTTGTGTTGTTTTTTTGGGGGGGTTAAAAACCAAACGATGTCTTGATTTTTGTCAAAACTTGGGCATTCTTTATCTTGTCAGCTAGCATTTTACTTTTGTCAAGGTTATAATTCTGCGATAAAGACCTAGGAGAATTATAAATCTCTAAAATCATGATAATTTTTTTTCTTAACATATGTTTGGTTAATAACACTGTTTTTTCAAAAATATTTCTTGACTTTTGTTTGTCTAATACTAATCGTTAATGCTTATTGTTTGTAGTCCAAACTCTTGAAAATAAGATAATCCAACTTCGATTGCACCAAATAATTGACGATTTGATTTATTGATGCAATTCTATTTTATTTCTCATTTCTTTACAGTCAAGCTTATTTTCTTTATATCAGTTGATAATCAAACTCGTAGTAGTAAGTTGATTCATGTCATATAATACTTCACTCTTATTCACTACACAAAAACTTCTAACCATACTATGATCTGTAGGCAAAAGCGAATGATGGAGACGGTCCAGAAATATTGCGTAGTGCCCAGGAAGGCGGTTCAAGTGGCCATGCTGAGTCTTTAGCAGCAACCCTTGCAGAGCATCAACAACATTTAGCAAGCTTCCAGGTAAGGCATTAAACATTTTTTACAATCTGCAAGATCCTACCAAGGTTTAAGTGCTTCCAAAGGCAGCTAAATTTTATATTTGTCATTTGTTTTTTATGAAGCTTTTAGACCACCTTTTTATGTTGAAGGAGAATTAATGTCCTTAATGATTTTTGACAGTATTTAGTTAATTTACCTTTTTGGATCTTATATTATGCAGAAAGTTACATTGGTTTAATGGAAATTTTGCTTTGCTTCTTTTTTTGGTGTTGTGTGTGGGAAGGGGGTTGGGGGGTGGTTGTTTATGAGAGCGGACAAATAATGTTGTTTTGAGATATTTTTAGCCATGTATGAGGGATTTTATATATGTGTATTTTTTTTGCTATTTTTGTCAGTGTTGATTGACTTTGTCTTCTTTCTAGATGCAAACGGACACTGTATTTGCCTTGTTTGTTGACAGCTGCAATATAGAAAGCAAATAGCACCGGCAATATGCAATATAGAAAGCAAGAAATTTTCATGCTATGAAAGAGTTAAATTCCTGCTATCAATTACCTGCTGGTTCTACTCTTAAACATGGATCTATCATATTTTAAATCCATTTTTGCTCTATTTCTTTCCTCTTTCCATAGTAGGGGTTGAGTATCTTATATACACTTGACCTGTAATTGCTGTTCCTATACTTCAAGAATTCTTCTCTACGAATTTTACATTGTTGCATTTTTCATTTGCAGGTGCTTATTAATCAACTCAAGGACGTTGCTCCAACAATACAGAAGTCCATATCAGAGTGTACAGAGAAGGTGAACTGCATAGCCTCCAATCTACCTCCAATGAACAGACATCACGGTCTGTCAATGTCACCTAACCAAGCACAGAATAGTGGGAGGATGGTAATATACAATTTTAGTTTAATGTAATTATTGCTTCTTTGCATATCTTTCATTAGGGTTCATCTACCACCGACCCCAATTAGTTTGGGGTAAAGGTGTTGTTGATGTTGATGTAATTATTGCTTCTTTGATGCCTTCACTATAAGAGATCTGATTTTACCCCCATTTTTTTAATATCACTTTTGTATTATTCAGGAAAGTAGCACTGATGATGTTGGTGAGGTGACTTCAAGAATATCTAATGTTCAGCTTGACAACGTTTCTGTTAGTCCTCCCACTTTAAAGCTTCCTCAATTGTTTAGCTTGAACCTATCTTCTGGAAAAGCTGGAAATGTGCAAAGGCGGCATGGTAATGCTTCTCAAACCAACCAAATGGAGAATCTTTCTGACAGGAAATCTTTGGATCCTCCTTCAAGTAACGAAGTAGCAAGTTCAGCAGAAGGTATGCTGTGTCTTCTAAGCTTTTTACTAGATGTTTTGTTAGAGATATAAAATCATCTGGGGCCTCCACCTAAGTATTTAAGCTTTAAAGAGAGTTGGTGTTTGACATTGTATTGGAGTCTTTATGGCCAGGACTCCAGGAGGTTAGGAGTTCAATCTTTTCCTCCCTATTCTTCATAATTTAGTTAAATTTCAGTACAAAGGAAAGAAGCTTGTGAACTATTTATGCTTCTAGCACAAAGAACACTTGCATGACGGGGTATGTTTAGAGGTTTAAAATCATTCTTGGGCTTGGCCATAATAACTTCAGCTTTTAGGAGAGTTGGTCCTTGACACGTTTCATTATATTGATGCTTATGGCTCTTCTGAGGGAATTTCCATCAGTGTGTTAGAAACAGTGTGTCTGATAATGGCTCTATTTTGTAGGTAGTGATATTTCCTATATCCAGAATTTAAAGAGGTCGGTAAGAGAAGCGGCACTGTCATTGCGGTCTAGCAATTCAGAGTCATCACGAGATAGTCATTCTGATGGAAGTTCTGAGCACTTCTTTGTCCCTCTTTCAGAAACTGGCTTTTCTCATTTAGATGGAGAAAAAAGGACAGCTTCATTGAGGAGTAAAGGGTTATTTTTATCTCATATGGATGATTCCTTGCTTGAGAGTCATGCTTTTGATGGGCATGGGGAGAGCAAGTTTGATGAATATCCAGATATGTTGAATGATTTGGAAAGGCTTTCTGATTATGAACATGAAAATGGGTTTCTCTCGTACACTGGTTCAAATGCAACGTCTGATGCGCAGCGGTCATTTTTTGACTTTGAGGATGCACAGGATCAAGTCTTCTCACCACCTCTGCTAATGGACTCATCGCTTTTAGCAGATCCGTTTGAAGACTTGCTGGGTATGTTGAGTTTTCAACAAACTGTTTTGGTTTTGTAATTTGTGCTTTGGTTCTACTTAACATCTAATGATTTTGAAATACTTTGCTAGTTTGAAATATAATTCAGGGCAGAAAGAAAGGAAAAAAAAGGTGGGGGGGGGGGGGGGGTTAGGGGTGTTTTGCTTTTCTGAGGACTTACTAGAATGTTAAAGGAATATTTTGGTTTGATCTTATAAAAATATTTAGGATGCAGACCTTAGATCCAGTGTTTGTTCTCTAGATGGGGGAATGCATTTTGAAGCTTGTTTCTTTATTTTCCCCTTTCCAAGGGGCTGTCCAATTGAAGGAAAACTATTTGTATTGTGGAGGGTTAGACCCGTTTCTCTTCTTGTGTTCCAGATTGTCCCTCTCTAGTCTTTTTCCCCTTTTGTCTCCCCTTTTATTGTCCTTTTTTTTTTTTAAGTTCTTTCCTTCTTTTCTTTCTTCTCTTTTTTATTTATTTATGTATTTGCTTTTTTCCTTTCTTATTTTTTTATTTGAATTTATTTTTCCATTTAATTGTTTTTTTTAATGGATAATGTTATATATATTTTCTATTTTTATTTTTTTTCTCAATCTTTTCGTACTTTTCATTTGGGTTCATTTGCCATCGACCCTAACTAGTTTGAGATGAAGGTGTTAATGTTGATGTTGAGGATTAATAGAGACATTCTTGTGCTGCATACATTCATGGGTGGAACTAGAATAATGATATTGTGCAGGCTAAAGATATATTTTACATGTGTATGGGTATGTTTTCAAAATTTGAAAAACCTAAGGGTAATTTATGGAATTTCGAAAAGTTCTTTTTTTACCTGGGGGTTGGGGGGAGCCTCTAAACACATCAACCCTTCACGAATTCTTACACATTGGTTAATTGATGAGTTAGGAATTTTGTTGTTGCAGCCCCTCTCTCTGAGACTGAAACGGCCCTGATGGACCATTGAAACTTTTCTGGGCAACCTCGGGAACTTAACTGAGGAAATGGCATGATTGATGTGGTGGATTGTTATTCTTTTGTCAGGATATTCTCTCCCTTCACCTTTTATAACACGATACTTGTATGATTTCTGTTATTCTTGTTTGGTATATTTCACCATTCTATTTACTCTGTTGATTTGTACTGCTGGGAGGGAACCATGAATGACCCGTGTTCTTCATTCTTGAATGTTGATTTACTTTGCGATGAAGATGCTAAAATCCAATAGTGCAAGCTGGATTGGAGGGTGAAGTTTGTCTTCAACCAAATAATTGCAGTGCGACTTGAATTTGCATTCACATTTTCATCCACTTAAGGAGGAAACTGACATCCCAATAGGGCCTGTAAAAAAAAAATGGTGGATTAGTGGATATGAGAAATGCAGGTCTGGGTTTTCTGCGGCAACTCTTTATCCCTCTGGTATCTGTTTTTAGTCAGTTGTGATCTATCCTTGGAATGCAATTAATTTATGTATTTTACAGCTGTGTATCAGATGATTTAGGTCTTGTATCTTGGTAATATATCAGGAATGTAAACTTACATCATTTTCTTATACTGTCCAGCAACATACATTTTTCCTTTTTATTATTTTAATATGGTTTTGTGATTTCCATTTTCCATTACTTTGTGCACTTGACTGGTTAATGGAATATGATTCTTTGATTTAATTTTATGACTTCACCAATTGTTTGTTTAGCATATAGCATGACCAAGAACTGCAATTAGGTGGTTTCTTTGTGTTGATATGGCAGAGTAAAGAGATGGGCTAGCAATTTCAGATTTTTGGATCTATCGTCGAGACGGAGCTATTGAAATTTGATATTACCATTTTAATCCCTATCTTAGCTTTGTTCATTCTTACAGTTTGTTTATGTGGCAGATAGGGAGTTGTTAATGGATATGGTACTGGGATGAGTTATGAAGTATTTATTGAATGCTATTTCATAATAAATAAGATTGTATTAAAGATAATTAGCAGCCACTTAATCATTTATATAAAAAAAGAAAAAGATAAGTACTGGAATGTTAAGGTCTAATATGTCTGCAATTTGAATATATACCATTTTTTCTTCCCATGTTAGCTTTATTTATACTTAGTATTGATATTGAAAGTATATTTTGGATGTGACATCATTGGTGACTTTTGTTATCTTGAACGTCATAATTTAAACGGTAATAATTGATGATTTGAATTCAAGTTTTTTTTGATATTATTTACGGTGCAAATTCTTCACAATAATAGCAATGAGTGGTTGAGCTTTATTCTGTATAAAAGGTAAATAATGATTGAATTTTTTTTATTTTTTTTGGAGATATTTCAATCGATTTATTGGTTCGTGATTAGTCCGATTTAGGGCGAGTTTTTAAATTAAGTTTTAAATCTCTTTCAAAGATGATATTAGAGAGGATCGAATATATGTTCTCACCTTCATCTCTGGTCAGTTTCTTGACATTGATTGAGCTATTATTATTGAAATTTTTTAACGACACATTCCATTGTTTGTGAAATTTTTACGTGAAACACGTTTGAGAAAGTAACATTTATCTGTTATTCATTAACCTACTGGAAACCATAGAACAGATGTTCTTGTTCGTCCCTTGGAATTTTGACTAAATTTTTAATACTAAAAATATCATTATCATGATATGAATTATTATCCAAATTTTGGCTTATCCCATCACACATCTCAACTTTTGTTCACGTGACCCTCTTCAATTTTGAGCAAGACAATCAAAACTCAAAACTATGTGAGACGGGACCCAGCACCGAGTGGGCCACTCCAAGTGGGTCTATGATTCTAAGTGCCATTTTTATTTTAAGTAACTGGAAAGCAAGTTACACGTATAATAACTTATGAAATTAGTAATATATTTTTCTTTAATTTTTAATAAACCATTATAATTATATTTTTTATTGTTTAAAATATATGTTATCTTAGGACAGCGGAATAACGAAAGGAGAACTGCACTTTCGCACAGTTTATATTTACAAGCATACTTCTCCACAAATTATTAGCTAAACACACACACACACATATATATATATATATATATATATATATATTAGCTAAACAATTGTCTTTTTTTATATATATAAAGAAAAGTTAAAAAGTACAAAACAAAAAGAAAAGAATCAACCGACACTCCTAATTCGAGGAGTGACTGAGGAGTCCGCAAGCAAAAGCAAAAGCAATTTAGGAAGAGGTTGTGGGAAGACAGAACCATCATCCATAGCCAGGCGATCTAGCAAGAGGTTCGCCAGGTAATCGGCACAGCAATTGGCCTCCTCAGTGCATGAATAAAGTGAACTTGCTAGTTACGATTGATCATTGCTCGAATCTGACTCACCACAGATGACTTATGAGCTTTCTCACCATGCATAGTGAGAAACGCGACAATAGAGCTTGAGTTGCTTTCGATGATTATTTTCTTGGCACCCTTACTCCAAGCAAGTTGGAGCTCTTTCAAAACACCCCACAGTTTTGCATTTCATGTTAAACAAGTACCAATTCTGTAAGAAAAATCACCTCTTCAGCTGCCACTTGAGTCTTGTAGCACCCCACCACAACCAGCAACCCCTAGATTGCCCCTAGAAGCACCATCTGTATTTAATTTAATAAATCCTTCCGGCGGAGGAAGCCAAATAATAGTAAGTTGGACCAGAAGAGAGGTGTCTTGTACAAAGGCATTTTCAATCACAATGAGATGCAAGTGGATAAAAGGAGGGGCTGGTTGGCCATGTGCAACTAAATTATGTCATTGCCATATTATCCAGCAGCCAACAACAAAAAGAGTAGCCCATGGGATCGTACCTTTACTTTCCTCCTTATGACTCTAGTTCCATTGTAGCAACTCAAGTAAATCAAACTTGAAAAAGGTTTCCTTTTCTCAGGGAGGCAGAATAGCAGCCCATATCTTTTTGATGATGGGACAATCCTTAACAGCATACAGTAAGGTTTCCACCTGTTCATTGCAAATGGGGCATCGAGGATCCCCATGGGACCAGTAAACACTCCATGCTTTGGTAGGTAATATATTATAAGCTAACTTCCATTGAAAAATTTTCATGCACTGAGGACCTTTCCAACCCTACAATTTTCTCCAGAACACACAAGGCAAATATGCATCATTCATTGTGGCCCCTAATAGATATGTATAACAGTTTTTTACCATAACCTTAATCGTATTTTCAAGTGTTCCAACCCAACAATCCGATCCATCCTCCAAAGCAGGTGGCAAGCAACTCTGGATTTGATGTGTAGTATTTTCAGGTAGCCAAGTTTGTAATAGCTCAACTTGCCAATTGCCATTGTCATCCACATAATTATACACACATTTGTGGGCTTCTTCTTCCGGGATAGGATTAATGGTGCCCATCTATACTTCCAGAATAAAATTGAAGTATCATTTCCAATATCCCAAATGACCTTATTTTCCATAAACAGCCAAACCCGACAGAGAGCCGACCATAGCCGAGAACAACCAGCCCTCTCAATGAATGTGAAGACATCAACCCTGCTGCCCATGAATTTTCCTTTCAGAAATCTTACCAACAAAGAGTCTGCTTCATTGTGGAATCACTACGCCAACTTTGAAAGGAAAACATCGTTCATATTTTTTGCCGCTTCAGTTCCAACCCCCCAAATTCCTTTGGCAATATTAAGGTATTCCATCCAATCACATTATGCCTACGGGTAATCTCACTTTCACCCCATATAAATCTCCTCTGAATCCTTACGCAATTGTCATTTAATTTATATGTTTAATTATATATATATATATATATATATATATATATATATATATATATATCGTTGATGGATCTCATTTTTTTTCTTTCTCTCTCTTCTTATCATATCTCCCGGTATGTTCACATGTATATACTGGTTATTTCTTATTTTCAAAAAAAATAAAAATTAACCATAATATAATCTGTGTTTTTCTTAAATCAAAGAAATTTTGCATCTAAGCAAGATTTGAGTTTTAATAAAAAAATAAAGAAATAGTCTTGTTAAATAATATTATTTCAAATTATATTTAGGTTTTAATAAAATGTAAGTATATTTGATGTTGTAACTAACACTAAAGTACCTTCTGAAATTTAAAATAGATCCAGTTAGTCGAAATTGTGGTTCCTCTAAAATTTAAAGAAGATCTACATTAGTTCTTGAAAAAGACTGAATTTCAGAGGGACCATGAGTCAACTTTTTTTTAAGGAATTAAATTAGGTCCCATGATATTTATTGAGGACCCAAAAGAAACTTTACTTTATACATAACGATACATATATAATGTAACTATAATATTATTTTCGGTGAATCTTATGTAGTATTTGTAACTATACTATAATTGATGTTTTTTTTTTTTTCAAGTATTTTGCAGGATACTCGCCATGAAATTTTCGGAAAGGGACACTTAAAAAAAAAATTATGAGGGGAGATAATACTGGTGCGTTACCAAAGAAAAACAAAAGTGTTATTTTTTAAATGAGTAAAGTATTTCTCTAGTTGTTATCAAAAAAAAAAAAAAAGTATTTCTCTAGTTACCTTCTAAATTATGTCATTTTGAATTAATGAAGGATATTTTTATAATTTTACGAGAATTAATAAAAGGTATTTTAATAAAATTTATATGGTAAAAAAATAAATAAGATTACAAAAACACTTTTTGTTAATCTATAACGACATAGTTTGGAGAGTGACTTAAAATAATCGTACTTTACCTAATGTCAAAATTTCAAATTTGTAATTTTCGGAGTCAGATTGTAAGGACTTCTTTTTCTTTGTCTAAAAATGACCACATTAAAAAAAAAATAATGATTCAATTTTAATTTACTGTATTTTAAAATTTTTCCAACCTTATCTTAGGTTGTAATATATAAATAAAGGGTTTGTTATCTATTATTTTAAAAGATATAAAATTGTATCGTTAGAAATAAGAGAAAGAAATATATAATAAAAATTGGGGCAAGATATATTTATCACCGTTATAACTAATTTAATCATCATTAATTTTCGTCAATCTAACTATTATAATTTATTGGGTTTATAATTAATAATTAATTAATAAGTGAGACCAAATAATTTTCAATAAATTATAATAGTTAGATTCACGAAAATGAATGGTGATTAGATTAGTTGTAAGACTGATAAACTTTTGTGGTAGTAAATATATCATTTCTCATATACAAATTATGAGGGTAGAAAATAATTGATTTTTTTAATTTGAATTTTAAATAAAAAATATTAATTTTCATCAAAATCACTGGAATAAATATTTTTCCATTGAATAAATAATAAAGTAAGATAACTTCTTTTATATATATATATATATATATATATATATATATATATATATATATATATATAATAGGAGAGTTCAATGTTGGAAACTCAGCTGATGTGTCACTCTCAGCTTAATTCTGAGTTTTCTGTTCACACTACATGGCACCTGCAAACTTTCTTTTTTTGGTAAATTGGAAAAAGTTTTTTCTTTTAAAAATCGAAATTCACTTTTTAAATTCGAAAAAAATAAAACAATTGTGGTGGACAAGTCATTGAATGTCCCACTGCTGTTCACATTAGAATTGATCGGCTGATTTAATTTGATTTTAAATTCAAATTTTGAAATGGAATGACTCAGCTGTTTTAATTGCTTATTGCTCATCTGATCTAAAATTCAAATTTTGAAATGGTTTCAAATTTTGAATTTAAAATATGGATGGTGGGAAAAGATTTGGAGAGTTTTGGGTGGCATTCATTTTGTATAAATAGAGAAGTTGTGTTTCTTATTTTTTTTAGCTTGCCTACGATTTCTTTCTTCATTTCTGTTTGTAGGGGTTGTTGTGTTGGTTTTATTTTTTGTTTTCTTTGGCTTTCTCCGATTCGTTTCATATTTTAATGGAAGGTCCTTCTTCTGCAAACGTGCTAGGATTGAGGAAAGTGTTTGTTGATCTTTGCAATGCTATCTTCTTATAAACAAGACGTAAATAATATTTAAGATTCTTTTTTTTTTATACTGATTATCTTTTATTCATTTTGTAGGGCAGAAGTTTTCATCGTATTTCATTATGTGTGGTTCTTGCCTACATTTTTTTTCCTTCATTCGTATGTGTAGCGGATGTTGTATGATTATTATTTTTGTTTACCTTATAAACAAGTTGCTATGAATTCGTGTTCTGTTTTTTTGTACACTAATTCTCTTTTTTTCGTTTTGTAGGGCTGGAGGTTTCGTCGTATTTCATGTTGTGTGGTTCTTGCCTACATTTTTTTCTTCTTCGTTCATATGTGTAGCTAATGTTATATTATTATTATTTTTGTTTACTTTATAAACAAGTTGCTATGAATTAGTTTTCATTTTTTGTATACTAATTATCTTTTTTTCATTTTGTAGGGCAGAAGGTTTCGTTGTGTTTCATGTTGTGTGGTTCTTTCCTACATTTTTTTTCTTCATTCATATGTGTAGCTAATGTTATATTATTATTATTTTTGTTTACTTTACAAGGAAGTTGCTATGAATTAGTTTTCATTTTTTGTATACTAATTCTCTTTTTTTTTTCGTTTTCCAGGGCTGAAGGTTTCATACTACTATGATTAGTTATTTACATAGTAAAAGCCCTGAATGCTGCGTAGTGCTTTCCTACAATTTTTTTTGCTACCCGATACAAAAATTGAATGGTAATCAATGGAATAAATGTCAACGGGTGAATAGTTTAAAATTTATCTGCATCGAGGGTCCTTCTTCTGCAAACGTGCCACGATGGAAGAAAGAGTTTGTCGATCTTTGCAATACTACTGCAAAAGTTGCAAGGATTTTTAAGGCTTGCTGGGGATATTTTTTTGTATTCTGCGAGTTGTGGATATATTTTCTTCGTGCTGGATAATTTAAGAATGTCTGTGATTACGATTTCAGATTATTATTTTTTGCTGTTGTAGAACTATATTTAGAAATTAATTGTTGAAGCTGTTCTTGAATATTTTTAATTTGTGTGATGTTATGTTGCATCTGTGTGGTATTCAGTTATGGTGCATGATGTTTGAATTTGTTATAATCTAAATATTGGAATTTGTTGATGTTGTTGTAAAGCCATTTGATGCTTAACAATCATGTATAAGGCATTTTCGTTGAGGTTTAATTAATATAAATATAAAGGCTGCACTTAAACGATGTAAGATAAGATAAAATTTCAATCGTTGTCCAGTATTTAACGCTCCGCGTTTCAGTTTATTCGTGATTTCAATATCAGAAGAAGTTAAAAGTTTTCAAGCTTTTTCGATTTTTGTTGAAACTGAAAACAGAAATGATTTTTATTAAAATACAATTATTATGAATCTTGGGATTTTGTTGCATGGGAAAGGATTTGGAAATAAAAAATTAAATAAATAATAATTTCTTTTAAAAATCGAAATAAAAAATCAATGGAAAATTAAGTTAATCATTTATGGTGGCAGACAACTCATTCAATGTCCCACTGATTTGTACATTGGAATTACTGAGCTCTTTTAAATGCTTTCTACATTGAAATTGTTCATTTTTTTAAAATTCGAATTCTGAATTGATTTCAAATTTTGGATTTCAATTTTAAATTTTAAATTGTAATTGTGGGAAAGGATTTGGAAATAAAAAATTAATTATACAATAATTTCTTTTAAAAATCGAAATAAAAAATCAATGGAAAATTAAGTTAATCATCTATGATGGCAGACAACTCATTCACTGTCCCACTGATTTGTACATTGGAATTACTCAGCTCTTTTAAATGCTTTCTACATTGAAATTTTTCACTTTTTTAAAATTCGAATTCTGAATTGATTTCAAATTATGGATTTCCATTTTATATTTCAAATTGTAATTGTGGGAAAGGATTTGAAAATCAAAAATTAAATAAATAATAATTTCTTTTAAAAATTGAAATAAAAAATCAATGAAAAATTAAGTTAATCATTTATGGTGGTAGACAACTCATTCAATGTCACACTGATTTGTACATTGGAATTACTCAGCTCTTTTAAATGCTTTTTACATTGGAATTGTTCACTCTTTTGAAATTCGAATTCTGAATTGATTTCACATTATGGATTTCAATTTTATATTTCAAATTGTAATGGTGGGAAATGATTTAGAAATAAAAAAATTAAATAAATAATAATTTCTTTTAAAAATCGAAATAAAAAATCAATGGAAAATTAAGTTAATCATTTATGATGGCAGACAACTCATTCAATGTCACACTGATTTGTACATTGGAATTACTCAGCTCTTTTAAATGCTTTCTACATTAGAATTGTTCACTTTTTTAAAATTCGAATTCTGAATTGATTTTAAATTTTGGATTTCAATTTTAAATTTCAAATTGTAATTGTGGGAAAGGATTTGGAAATAAAAAATTAAATAAATAATAATTTCTTTTAAAAATCGAAATAAAAAATCAATGAAAAATTAAGTTAATCATTTATGATGGCAGACAACTCATTTAAAAAATATTGTTAAATATCAAAATTATTTATATTGTAAAATAAATTCAAAATTTGAAAATAAATTAAATGAAAAATTATGTTAATAATTTGGAAATAACTCAATTTTAAATTTTAAATTCGATGAGAAGTTTTATTTCTATTACTGAATCCCTCCAATCCCTAGATACGAAAAGATAATAAATTTGGAAACTTTCTTGCCGCCGAATATTAATCCAATCAAACCCAAGATACGGAAAGATAATAAATTTGCAAACGTCAAGATACCAAAATATAATAAATTATGCATTGATTCCGGATTCCACCCTTAATCATAGCTACGACCGCGTGATTTTTTTCTTTATAAGAAGCATCGGAGGAGAATCCTATTGTCGTCAACATTGGTCAATTCATTCTCATTCTCTGGTGATTGCTGGGTTATAACAATTCATTCTCATTCTCATTCTCTATTGTCGTCAACATTGGTCAATTCATTCTCTGGTCAATTCATTCTCTGGTTTTCAATTTTTTTTCAATTCATTCTCTGGTTTTCAATTCATTCTCTGGTTTGTGGTTATTTTGCAATGACCATGAAGTCTGAGTCACTGGATCATTGGAGGAATTACTTTAGCACTGCCAAGTCGTATGATATATTCGATATCATTCATCATTCCATCATGGTGGCAGCTTCGGATTTCCCCAAGGAGTTCAAGCTGAGGAGAGATGGGATTGCTGAGAGATTGTTCTCTTGCATGTTGACGACTAAATGTTTGGGGTGTGAAAGGGTGGATCATGAAGACGTTGATGATGGGCTTGCCCTTGAAGCAGGGTCAAGTGAAGATGTCCGTGAAGAGGTTTTGAGGATCGGAAACCTTCTTCTTAACTTTAAAGAAGAGGTATATCCTCTCTCTTTCTTTCTCTTTTCATTGTTTTTTTTTTCTTCCCTTCTTTATGTTCTGTATCAGTTCTTGCTTCTTTGTATTGCAATTTACTTGGATGGTTGATGAGATTTTTGAACGGATAGGTTTCTGAATTTATGAATATGGTTTTTAATGGATGGCATTTTAGTACTTCTTTGAACGTTGAATTCTTTTATGTCCTCTGGTCCCTGATTCATGTTGCTTTGTTTTGTGTCACAACAGTCGGACTCTGTCTTATTTGAGTCATTGAGGAGGCTCCAGCTGATGGAACTCAAAGTGGATCTTCTAGAGGTCTGAGCCTACAATTCAATTTTTTCCTTGCTTTTTCCAGTGCCCTTTTTATTTAGTTCTCTAATTCTCAAAATTTAACTTTGCCAGAAAACTAAGATTGGAAAGGCTGTCAATCCTCTCCGAAAGCATGGATCAAAGGATATTAGGCAACTCGCATCGACTCTTATTGAGTATGAATAAGTTTTTCCTGGATATTTGTTTTTCATTCATGTATCATTGGATCAAAGAAATAGCTTGTAACCAGTTTCTTTGGTTCCAATTAGTGGTTTGCTATTCTGGTATTGTGTGTGTAAATGAAGATTAATACAATTCACTCACTGTTGTTGCACTGACCCATCTGTAATTCTCTGTCATCAACCATCAATTATTAGATTTAGTTAGTCTGAACCTGTTTCTTAGTTAATCACACTTATGGTAGCATGTCTCTTCTGCTTAAAAGTCAGCTATTATTTATTAGTGTACAAGTTGAGATGTGGCATCTGTTTAATTTGTTCACTTGCATTCTAAACATTTTCATAATTTATTGACTTTGTAGTTGCTGGAAAGAAATGGTAGATGAGTGGTGCAAGGCTTCCACTACCACAGCTATTGCAGGTAGAAAAAAAAAATTCTGCTTTCATGTGAATAACCTGCTGCTTTTTTATCCGTTTTAAAATTAATAAATGTTTAAAAGCGGTTTTATTAAATATTTGTAGCTTCAGAAGGCACTCCAGATTCTGTAAATCCATCTGTTCTTGATGAAGGAGTAGGACTTCCTTCCCCTCCTATGGATGAAGGGGCTTTATTTCTTGCCCAAATTGGTTCAATTGAACTCTCACAGGTATGTAAATGTCCTCTTTCCCCTCTCTCCAACTTCTTGCGAGCTTTGATATTTAGAAACTGACTTCTAGTTCTCTCTGTTGGATGTCACATATCTGGATGATGTACAGTTCTTCGATGGCATGGATGATTATGAAAGTGAGTTGAATTTGCAATTTCTTATGCTTAGTCTCGCTAGCTTTTGCTTTACAGTTCTGGATTTGAATTCCTCTCATCGTAGAATATGATTATGAATGGGGAATGTTTTTTCAGATCCTCAACAGAGTGGACAATTCAAGTCTGAGGCTTCCATTAAGCCATCCATCACTGCCAAGGACAGTAAGAGTCAGCAACCAAGGAAAAATGAGGTTGCTGTGAGGCTAAATAAACCAGAAACTGTTGATAATTTCCCTGTCAGACCCCCAAAATCAACTATGCAGCGAAAAAGCAATATGGAGCCAAAGATGCAGCCAAAAATAGAGAACAATACAATCCCAAAGAAGCCTCCCATGATTCAGAAAGATGTAAGAATAAAAAATCTCTCTGTGCATCTAATTTTTAGGTTTGAGTTCTCTCTGACCTTGAAATGTTGTTTATCAGAAATCCAAGTTTTCAGATGAAGAAGCTGCAGTCCAAGTAAAACTAGAGGCCACTAAGAGGAAAATTCAGGAGCGTTATCAACGAGTTGAAAATGGTTTGTTATTCCTTTACCAAAATCAAAGTCCTAAACTCCTATCTGATTTTAAGTTGTTAGAGTGTCCAGTAGTTTCTACATTCCTAGAGAATCTTCTACACTAAAGTTAATTGCCTAGAATGTTGGATTTATCTTGTCAACTTTCAGATGATTTTTTCTTTATTTGGGGGCACATTACTAAGTTCATAATTAATTGATGAAAGTTTCATTGTTGCTTGCAGCTAAGAGGCAGAGGACAATACAAGTTCTGGAAATAAATGATCTCCCCAAGCAAGGGGGTGGCCAACGAAATTCACATTTCAAACCTGGGAATCACAATAGGCAGTGGGCCAATGCACGAAGATAGAGGATTTCCAAGCTTTAGCCATTCTGTGAATTGAAGTTTGATCCATTCACCATTCTTACTTGGATAGAGCTTTTTTGATCGAGTATATAGGAATTTTGAAACACTGTTGTATGATTTCAATACATAAACTCATGCAACAAGCCTCTTTTATGATTTTCAAAGTTTTAAGCAAATTCTCACATTCATTGTGTCATTTATCTTATGAGGCCTACTTCTTGAATGGATTTTAAATATGTTCAACAAATTTTTAGTTTTACCACAAAAAGAATTGAGAATATGGAGTAGCAGAGGATTACATACCAAGGATATGAGTACTTTCCCTATGTTTCCATAGAAGTTCACCCAGGAACCTAGATTATATAGATCAAGTTGAAATTCATATCACACATCAAGGATAAAATCTGATGGCAAGGTCTAACTAATTCACTATAGCTTGTACAAATCACAAACCTTGATCTTTAGTAAGTGAAAGAGTACAATTATACTAATCACAGCCATTTTATTAATCTGTATCATAATCCGAATAGCTTAATTAACATTTAAAACCTTATGGATAGATTGAAAAATTTGAGTCATAATAAGAGTGAAACTTGCTTGAAGATGGAGATTAGCCAAAGCCAAGACTGGCTAGGTAATGCTATGAAAAAACAAACAGCAGCACTGAACCACACGACAGCAGTTATTGCAATGGCATATTTGGAGAACTTTTGATTTCCACGCTGCAAAAGCCATGAAGAAAAAAACAGCAGATAATTTACTATCTTTGAATTATCAAGAGCTCAACACTAAGTCAAAGCATTACAGTTATAACAGGAAAAGAAAATCTTTAACAAAAACTGTTGATAATACTTACTTCATAGATTGCAATTTGGGACAATATAATCAAATTCATTAAAACAGAATGAGTGGAGAAAGCAACATCATTAGCAGCTACAGGTGAAACAAGAGTAAGAAATTGAGAAGCAGCTCTAGCCAAATTTCCAGATGATCATATATAACATAATATGTAGGGTTAAGCATTCTGACCTGGGGGAAATATTTGATGACTGTCATACATACTTGAATTGAGCTGCAATATAATTGATTTCCACAAAATTTTAGATGAAAATCTAATCATATCACAGCTCATAAGACAACAATAATATTAACAATTATATTAAAATAACAAAATAAAAATTAAAAAAGAAACAGAAGAATATCAACATTTCCTTGAAAGACCCTTGAAGAGGCTGATATTTTGCAATGTTACACTGAAATGACAGAAACCTTTCCTAACTACATCCCTACATCAATTTACATTATCAACATTGGGAACTAAACCTCAATGATATATGATCCATAAACAAAGACACTATGAACATAAGGCAATGGATTCAAACTTTAAAGTGAGATCACTGATTGAAGTTACCTGAAGAAACTGTGCAATATTTAACCATAATCTCAACTTTTTTAGTTCTGCATGATTTCTTTATGCCATGTTAGAGCATGACCATAAGTAATTTATCTAAGTTCACTAGTCATCTTACTTACCCCTACACTCAGATGCATATTATGTAATTCATCAAAAGATTTTATTATTTTTTATTTTTTTTATAATCATCCAATATCCCATCGCCAACGAGCTCAATTAATCAAAATTCGAGAAGAGCAGAATCACAAGGGTAGCTACCTTGAGCAGAATCACAAGAGCAGAATCCAGTACTTGGTATATGACTTGTAATGGAAATGAATTCCAGGGAACCATTTTGCTGTGTTAGTTTCTGGCGCAGAGGAAGTAATGGTATCTCTTGTGAATGAATAAAGGAAGTTGGAATCGTCCAAATATCTATGACTTGGTATATTATATTCTCTCTGTCACCAAACAGAACATGTTCAAATTCAAAGACTCTTCAGTCTTGCTTACCATAGTGTATACCTAATAATGGCAAACATGTCTATTGGCAATTTCTCACCACATGCCTCAAGAATTTCGTCATCAAAGGTAAAGCCAGAGCAAGGCCCTTTCTATGTTCACCTTTTCATATACAATACTGATCCACTTTATGGTGGTCTTTTGAATATTCAGCTGAATTCCTACACCTAATCAACAATGATACTCTTAAGCAAAAATTTTCAATGATAGTGTATTTTGTTGTGGTTTTCACCCTTGAGCTGAAATAACATCATTCTCTCTTGATATATACATTTAAGCAAACGCAAGTTATTTTAGCCTCACTATCATAGTTTTACCAAATTATTGCATCAGACACATAAAAACCTCGATATCATAGCTACTCAGTACTTAGAATTTTACGATTATATAATATAATGACACTGTTGAATAATTAGAAATCCAAAATTTGAGGCTCTCATAAGTTCTGTTGACATTTTGTTTCTTTTACCATATATATGCAAACAAACATGCTGAAACTTGCATAACCCTTTGAGTTATTACTTTAGGAGAGTATTTATCCAAATTTTAAACTTACCAACCTTTGTGAGGAATCACCTAACCAATCAACCTGTCAATGTTTTAAACTAAAAGAAATTTCACTGATCCCCTACTAACTTCAATAACCTATTAGCATATACCCTTTTATAATTTTGTGGAGACAAGACAAGGAGTGTGTTTATGACAAGACTCATCAGGGTTGGTTGGGGGGGTTAATCTCAGGGTGAAGTATGAAACAACAAAAGACAATCTCGGGTTACATCAGAAACTACTTGGTTGAACAAACTCTTTCAGTGGCTTTGTCCCAAGCTACCAAGCTATACGAAAGTAGACAATTTTGGGTTGTCTTAAGTAATATATTAATTTCATAATACTGATATATAGTACCTTATATATCAAGGGGAAAACATTGATCAATTCTAATGGACTCTTGGCTTTTCGATAGCTTACAAAAATATGTCCTGTATAAACGTCCAAGGAAACCTTTGTCTTTGTGTTATCCTGGCCCTTAATACTACAGAAACTCTCTGACTCTTGTCTACAGTATCACTTTTGGATGATACTCTCTCTTTCTGTCTTTTACTCTCTGTATAAGTTAGAACGGTCAAATTATACTTGGATGTATTAGCCATAACTGATACATGTTTCTTTGTGTAATGGTGAGGCCACTTCAACAGTATGGGGGTCATGTTGCTGGGTTCGGTTTTGATCATGCACAATCAGTCGTGCCTATGGGGAACCCAGTTGTACTATTCCCCGTCTCATATGGTAATGGTAAGAAACAATCTGGATATGCATGTAAGGTTTTAGCTATTGCAATGGGTATTAAGTTCCTGATTTATGTATAGGCAACCATCTAAATTTTCTGTTTCTGTTTTGCTCCTAGGCTTTTGGTGAGTTCGGTTTTGTGGCTTGAAGTTATAATCCATATTTAGAAGACAGATTGGGTGTACAATTCATTCAGACGTGGGGGAATTGTAATTTCAATCTGCATATCCATCTGTAAGTGCTCAGTACTAGCAGTGATGCATATATTTCTTTTATGCAATCACATGGACTCATTGCTATTTATTCTGTCTTTTCAATTGTTAGTTCGATCTACAGCAAAAAGCCTCCGATTTTAACATGCTACATTCTGTAATTTTTTTCCTAGTCATTTTGTCATGCTGCAACGGTTACAAAGTCTCGCTATGGAGAAGAACATTGGAGGGAATGAAGTCATGGGCCTTTAATGCTGGATCAGGTTGTCATGTTTGCCATCATTGATGTGCGGCAGTAATCTAACAAAGTGTTCTCAGATAAACACCCAAAGGCCTACTGCAATCAACCATTCATGTTTACTGTCTTTGCTGTAGGGTGTATGAAGTGGGTATTTGGCGATGAAGTCAGATTTTGTTTATGTTCTATAAAGTAGGCAGTGTGGTTTCATGGATGTAATATTGTTGCTATTCTTATGTAGTCTAAATTGTATAAGTTAATATTGCACAGTGATATGTAAACAAGTTTCAAGTCACTTGTCCTTGACATTCTGTACTGAAGTCCTCTTTGATATTTTATTTAGTAAGATGGTTATCAACATGAATACAGTTGATGTTTAATCTGTAAGTGGTGGTCATACAGTTACTGTCTGTACGCAAATCCTTTTACTGTTTGTGCTTGCTTCCTATTATGAATGAGTAATATCAAACAGCATTTTACAGGGCAGTTGAGGAAACAAATGCTTTTGTAATGGCACCGATTAGCAATGAGAAATATCAAACAGAATGGAATGGTTTATGTATTTTCAATGCAGTAAATCAATGAACAGCAACACAAGTCAATGAACAGCAACAGTACTCACTTATATTGAATATTCAGCAACTGAGGATGTAATCCTCTTACAAAATTCGCAAGGAAATAGTAACAGGATTCCAATTACACTATTAGGACTGTGTCCTTTACAATAGTTTCTGACAACCTGTAACAATTATGGCTACACACAAATATAAACTAACAACACTAGATGAATGGCACACTCATGCTTATCCAATTACAGACTCCTTTCCTCCACACTGAACCTCACAAAAAAATGGTGCTATCTTGCTTGTGACTTGCGTTCCCTGCCTCGTGGTTTCTCTTCTCATTTGGTGTTTGCACTGTCTTTAATTCATTTCTCACTACTTGGGCTGCTGCTGCCATCCCTTGGGCTGCTCTTGCTGTCATGAAGTTCAAAATAAACACGGATTGAAGGCCATCGTATCAGTAGGTACAAAGAAAATCCATGAAGTTATTTCCCATAGCAATTCCAAAACCCAAAACTGATGACAGTAGTATTGCATAAATGGCCGTCAACTGCAGCTGCAACAAAGTCACAAAGCTTAAACACATCAAGGATACACTGAAAGTAAGTCAAGTAATTAACTAGAGAGCAGGGATTTAAGGTTTATTTAATTATTTAAGAATTAACAACCAGCAAGCAGGAAGTAACACAGATGAATCATGGCAGTTACTACTTGAAAAAAATTACTTCTAAACAAATGATTATCCAAGCTGCCCTTGGCCAAAAATTCATATACCAAAATTCGGTGATCATCCTCTAAGCAGTAACCAATCAGTTTCACAAGATTAGGATGATACAGCTGCCCCAGGTAGTTGATTTCTGTCTATAGTACGAGGTTACTTAGTCACATCACAAGGAATATCTAAAATATAGCACAAAAAAACAAAGAGTCCCTAAAACATGTTTTTAAAACTAATTCAACATATTGCTTAACTTCAAAATGCAACTAAGTTCTCAAGCTTAGAGAAAAGTTCCAAAGTGTAAAAGGGCCATGCTAAGTGAAAGTGACACTCACCAACCATTCTGTAAACCCTCTTGGTTAAGCCTCTTCACAGCAATGACAATTCCAGTCCCTAGTTTAGTAGGAGCAAGTGTCTGCTCATCAAGCCACCCTTTAAATACACAACCAAATCCACCTTCACCCACCACACTATCTGGACGAAAGTTTCTTGTGGCAGTTCTTAGCTCATTGAATGTGAAGTTCTTCAAATTGCTGGACTGTAATATCTCACCCTCACTCCGAGGAGTCTGAAGCACAGGTGAAGTGGAGACCTTGCCGCTTGAACCACTCAAACCATCCTCTTCTCTGCTACCATTCTTTGAATTCAAACCTACCAATGTCAAAAGAGAAACATGGATTCACTTCTCAAGCCATATATAAGCATTATATTAGCAAACTCAGATTTCTGATTGATTCAAAAGGGCAACAGTTTCTTCAACCAATCATCTCAGTAATGTCATTCCTATACTTTAATTTGTACAGTACTCTTTTACACTTATCATTTATCAAATAAAAGATATATATATATATAGGGTAAGGATCATTTTACACCAGTGTAAGTTACACTCTTAATCTTAGCCGTTAATCCCACTTTTATCTAAGGGCTCAAATTTTTTAGTAATGTGAGCCATTGGATACAAGTGGATCAATGGTCAAGATTGAGTGTAAGACTTCTAATTCTTACACCGGTGTAAGAATATCCTGCCCCATATATATATATATATATATAGAGAGAGAGAGAGAGAGAGAGAGAGAGGGAAAAGGGAAGAAAAGAAGGTCTACTAACATTATTGACATACTGGATATTTACATAGTTGATTCCCATAGCAATTCCAAAACCCAAAACTGATGACAGTAGTATTGCATAAATGGCCGTCAACTGCAGCTGCAACAAAGTCACAAAGCTTAAGCACATCAAGAAGGATACACTGAAAGTAAGTCAAGTAATTAACTAGAGAGCAGGGATTTAAGGTTTATTTAATTATTTAAGAATTAACAACCAGCAAGCAGGAAGTAACACAGATGAATCATGGCAGTTACTACTTGAAAAAAATTACTTCTAAACAAATGATTATCCAAGCTGCCCTTGGCCAAAAATTCATATACCAAAATTCGGTGATCATCCTCTAAGCAGTAACCAATCAGTTTCCCAGGTAGTTGATTTCTGTCTATAGTACGAGGTTACTTAGTCACATCACAAGGAATATCTAAAATATAGCACAAAAAAACAAGAGTCCCTAAAACATGTTTTTAAAACTAATTCAACATATTGCTTAACTTCAAAATGCAACTAAGTTCTCAAGCTTAGAGAAAAGTTCCAAAGTGTAAAAGGGCCATGCTAAGTGAAAGTGACACTCACCAACCATTCACTGAGTCCCTGTAAACCCTCTTGGTTAAGCCTCTTCACAGCAATGACAATTCCAGTCCCTAGTTTAGTAGGAGCAAGTGTCTGCTCATCAAGCCACCCTTTAAATACACAACCAAATCCACCTTCACCCACCACACTATCTGGACAAAAGTTTCTTGTAGCAGTTCTAAGCTCATTGAATGTGAAGTTCTTCAAATTGCTGGACTGTAATATCTCACCCTCACTCCGAGGAGTCTGAAGCACAGGTGAAGTGGAGACCTTGCCGCTTGAACCACTCAAACCATCCTCTTCTCTGCTACCATTCTTTGAATTCAAACCTACCAATGTCAAAAGAGAAACATGGATTCACTTCTCAAGCCATATATAAGCATTATATTAACAAACTCAGATTTCTGATTGATTCAAAAGGGCAACAGTTTCTTCAACCAATCATCTCAGTAATGTCATTCCTATACTTTAATTTGTACAGTACTCTTTTACACTTATCATTTATCAAATAAAAGATATATATATATATATATATAGAGAGAGAGAGAGAGAGGGAAAAGGGAAGAAAAGAAGGTCTACTAACATTATTGCCATCGTATAGTACATTGTTTGGTTGCCAAAAGTGGATGAAAAGGAAAAATTCTTACATGAGAATATTTCTTACTCCAAAAAAAAAAAAAATAACCATATCCATTCACCATTCTTACTTGGATAGAGCTTTTTTGATCGAGAGTATATAGGAATTTTGAAACACTGTTTTATGATTTCAATACATAAACTCATGCAACAAGCCTCTTTTATGATTTTCAAAGTTTTAAGCAAATTCTCACATTCATTGTGTCATTTATCTTATGAGGCCTACTTCTTGAATGGATTTTAAATATGTTCAACAAATTTTTAGTTTTACCACAAAAAGAATTGAGAATATGGAGTAGCAGAGGATTACATACCAAGGATATGAGTACTTTCCCTATGTTTCCATAGAAGTTCACCCAGGAACCTAGATTATATAGATCAAGTTGAAATTCATATCACACATCAAGGATAAAATCTGATGGCAAGGTCTAACTAATTCACTATAGCTTGTACAAATCACAAACCTTGATCTTTAGTAAGTGAAAGAGTACAATCATACTAATCACAGCCATTTTATTAATTTGTATCATAATCCGAATAGCTTAATTAACATTTAGAACCTTATGGATAGATTGAAAAATTTGAGTCATAATAAGAGTGAAACTTGCTTGAAGATGGAGATTAGCCAAAGCCAAGACTGGCTAGGTAATGCTATGAAAAAACAAACAGCAGCACTGAACCACACGACAGCAACTATTGCAATGGCATATTTGGAGAACTTTTGATTTCCACGCTGCAAAAGCCATGAAGAAAAAAACAGCAGATAATTTACTATCTTTGAATTATCAAGAGCTCAACACTAAGTCAAAGCATTACAGTTATAACAGGAAAAGAAAATCTTTAACAAAAACTGTTGATAATACTTACTTCATAGATTGCAATTTGGGACAATATAATCAAATTCATTAAAACAGAATGAGTGGAGAAAGCAACATCATTAGCAGCTACAGGTATCATCTGCAATAACAAGAGATTGTAAAGCAAAACTACATATTGTGAATACTAATTGTTAGAGAAATATAATATAAAAATCATTAACTAAATCTCCCCTTAACAATTTAAACTTTTGGGTTGGATTAATGATTTACGTGGTATCAGAGCTTATGTGACGAGTTCGATTGATAAATGGGTACGTGCATTGTTCACTTTTTAAGACCAATGGGCCTTGTGTAAGGGTGCCCTTTACACTAATTATTTTGGACTAAGAGGCCTATCCATGGGATGGGTTGGTGTGACTGTAACAGATAAACTGTCTACACAAAGATATTAATTTTCTTCCTAATCCAAAGTCCTAACATAGGGGGATAAAAAATATTTGATTTTCTTATTAGCAGTTTCCACTTAAACTTTAACTCTGCTACCTCATAGGTTAAAGAATTTAGTTATTATGTAGCATAAAAAAGTTTTTACACTGTGTTATTACATTAATTAATAAGTTTGACTTGTTAAGATAGTGAAACTACTTCATTAAATATTAATGTAAAACTTTTGCTCTCTTACATTAAAGCTAAACTCTTTGTCTAAAAAAGAACAAACCTGTCCATAACCATACTTCTCGAAATACTGCTTCTGAATAGCAGGGCTAAAGAAGAGGGAAGCGTTGTATATCAGATATGACCAGTGCTTGGTCAAGTTCAGAATCTCAAAATCTAAGCTTAACCCCACCACACTGAGATTGATTACCAAACAAACCAAAAACACTTGAGTAAGAACCCCAAATATATATATATATATATATATATATATATATATATAATAGTCAAAAAACCATTAAAAAAAAAAAACCTTTTTCTCCTAAAATTCAAGATGATTTGTGGGTAGCCACCAATGGACCATGAATCGAAATTGATTCATGGATCGATTTGTCTTTGTTGGAACAGATGAATCGAAATTGATAAAACACAGAAAATTAAAGAAACCTTCTATAATATGTATTGATAGAATAACAGAGCACTGCTCTTTACAATGAAGAAAATTAAACAACGGCAAGAGACACTTTGTATTTGACACCGAAAAGAGAAGAAAAAAAAGCTCCCAAGAGACACTTCCCCAATGGATCCCCTACATTCCCCCATCGAAATAAAAAACTCAATCAAAAATTAAGTTAATCATTTATGATGGCAGACAACTCATTCAATGTCTCACTGATCTGTACATTGGAATTACTCAGCTCTCTTAAATGCTTTCTACATTGGAATTGTTCACTCTTTTGAAATTCGAATTCTGAATTGATTTCAAATTATGAATTTCAATTTTATATTTCAAATTGTAATTGTGGGAAAGGATTGGAAATAAAAAATTAAATAAATAATAATTTCTTTTAAAAATCGAAATAAAAAATTAATGAAAAATTAAGTTAATCATTTATGGTGGTAGACAACTCATTCAATGTCACACTGATTTGTACATTGGAATTACTCAGCTCTTTTAAATGTTTTCTACATTGGAATTGCTCACTCTTTTGAAATTCGAATTCTGAATTGATTTCACATTTTGGATTTCTATTTTAAATTTTAAATTGTAATTGTGGAAAAGGATTTGGAAATAAAAAAAAATAAATAAATAATAATTTCTTTTAAAAATCGAAATAAAAAATCAATGGAAAATTAAGTTAATCATTTATGATGGCAGACAACTCATTCAATGTCCCACTGATTTGTACATTGGAATTACTCAGCTCTTTTAAATGCTTTCTACATTAGAATTGCTCACTCTTTTGAAATTCGAATTCTGAATTGATTTCAAATTTTGGATTTCAATTTTAAATTTCAAATTGGAATTGTGGGAAAGGAATTGAAAATAAAAATTTAAATAAATAATAATTTCTTTTAAAAATCGAAATAAAAAATCAATGGAAAATTAAGTTAATCATTTATGGTGGCAGACAACTCATTCAATGTCCCACTGATTTGTACATTCGAATTACTCAGCTCTTTTAAAATTCAAATTTTGAATTGATTTCAGATTTTGGATTTCAATTTTAAATTTCAAATTAGAATGGTAGGAAAGGATTTGGAAATAAAAAATTAAATAAATAATAATTTGTTTTAAAAATCCAAATAAAAAATCAATGAAAAATTAAGTTAATCATTTATTGTGGCAGACAACTCATTTAATGTCCCACTACTTTTTTGTTGTTGTATAATACGAGTAAAAAAGACCTCTACTTTGTTATCAAAAAAAAAAAAAAAAAAAGACCTCTACTTTTTTTGTATATCCCACTATTTTTTCATGGGTAATTGTTAGGGTTTAGGAATGTTGCATAAAATAACAAAAACATTAAAAAAAAATATTGTAAAATAATAAAATTATTTATATTGTAAAAGAAATTCAAAATTTGGAAATAAATTAAATAAAAAATTATGTGAACAATTTTTGGTGGCAGACAACTGCATACTACTTTGCAATTTCCAAATTAATAATAACTCAACTCTTCTAAATTTTGAATTTATGTTTAAATTTGAATTTTGGATTTAAATTTTTAACTTTGTAATGATGGAAAAACTTTTAGAAAAATGACAACTCATTTAATGTCCCACTATTTTTCTTTTATTGTATATTATGAGTAAAAAGACCTATACTTTTCTTTTGTTGTATATCCACTATTTTTTACATGGATAAATTTTAGCCCTATTAATGCTGAATAAAAAAAACAAAAACATTAAAAAAATTGTAAAATAAAAAAATTATTTATATTGTAAAATAAATTTGAAATTTGGAAATAAATTAAATGAAAAATTATGTGAACTTGATATGTGGAAAAAGAGTTCAGCATTTAATATTTATGCAGTGGAAAAAGATTTCAGCATTTAATATTTATGCAGTGGGAAAAGATATATATAATAAATTTGAATTTAATATAAAATTGTAGATTAAACAATAAAATATTTAAAATTATAAAAATACTTTTATAGTCGATAAAATTTATTTAAAATTTCAAATTTAAAAGAAAAAAAGAAATGAAATAATTTATACTTTACAAAAAATAAATTTAAATTTTAACATAAAAATTTTAAATATACATGTATAACCAATTAAAATAATATACATGTATAACCAATTAATATATATATATATATATATATATATATATATATATATATATCATAAATTAAAATAGAAAAAAATTATATAAAAAAATTAGTATAATTAATATAAAAAAATTTAAATTTTAAATTTGAATAAAAAATGACGTCTGTCATTCAGTAAAAAAAAATTATTAAAATTTAAGAACTATAAAAATTAAAATTTTAATTTAGTACATAAGAAAGAAAGTAAACATTCATTTTTTTATTGTAAGAGTGTAATTAACACAAATACTTGCAAAAAATAATTATTTATATAAAATGCTGATAGTTAGAGGTGGAAAACTGGGCTCGGCCCGGAGGGCCTGCCCGCCAATATATTTTTATAATTCAATTAAAATTTTAACTTTCTTCTTTTATAATTAAATTATTAAACCTGCTTACCAAAAAAAAATTACTAAATCTGATTTCAATTTTTGTAAATACAAATTTGTGAAATTCCAAAGACTAACGACACTAATCCTTGTAAAAAAAATTGCAAGTATAAAATGGTGACAGTTAGAGGTTAAAAACTGGGCTCGGCCCGAAGGGCCGGCCTGCTGATATATTTTATAATTCAACTGAAATTTTATTATTCTTCTTTTATAATTATATTTCTAAATCTGATTTCAATTTTTGTAAATATAAATTTGTGAAATTCCAAAGACTAACGACACAAATCCTTGCAAAAAGAAAATTATTTATTATTATTTTATAAATCTGATTGTAGTAAATGAAAGTTCATCTCCGAGATAAAATATAAAAACCTAGATGCATCTATAAAAATCTTTTTTTATGGATAAATATAAAAACATATTACATGCTGATAGTTAGAGGTGGCAAACTGGACTCGGTCCGGAGGACCGACCCACAAACATATTTTTATAATTAATTTAAAATTTCATCCTTCTTCTTTTATAATTAAATTCCTAAATCTGATTTTAATTTTTGTAAATACAAATTTGTAAAATTCCAAATACTAACGACATAAATCCTTGCAAATAATAATTATTTATGATTTTTTTTTAAATGTGATTGCAATAAATGAAAGTTTATTTCAAAGATTAGTGTAGTTGCTTTGATTCTGTTCATATGCATTTGTTGCAATGTAAGCAAAAAATATGACTTATACATGCTTATTTGATTAAGTTTCATTCAAATCCCGTTCAGACAACATTTTTCTTTGCTCCTTAAAAAAATTTAATCCAATCTTTTTATTTTGCTGATACTATGACTTTTGGGTGTTAACATATTAGTGTTACTTATTTAATGAGTTTTTTCCTTCTGTACCGTAGGCACAAGGAACGAAAATCACACAAGAAATGACATATTGAGTAAGTGTTGAACTCATCCCTCCAATGATTGCTACGAAATGACACTGAATGAATAGCGTTTTCGTATTATAGGTAAAAGCTGATATTTTAAATCCATATTTGCTTGGTGTTATCGTTACCTTGATTTAGTTGATGAATGTTATAGTTAGCAATGATTTGTACGCATTTTTCTTTTTATATGCCTTTCTCATGTTAACATGGTGTATTATAACGAATTATGGTGTATTATGATATAGTTGTATGTGCAAAATTATTTATCCCTCCAGATTTTTGTTTATAGTTGATATTTGCAAAGCTCTATGTCAATGCTGTAATTTTTTTCACCTGAAATATAGAACAAAATAACAACACGTTTTTTTGTAAATGTAAAGTTTGCAGTGCGATTAACCAACCACGACGGACGACAAAATTTTTGATCTTTTTTCTCCGTGCATCGCACGGGTAATATACTAGTTGATAATAAAAGGGAAAGGATATTATAAAAATCAATTAGGGTTAATAACAATGTTATTACAAATTAATTTTACCGTTAGATCGATGATTATATTGATCAAATAGTTATATTTATTTTCATCTTTGTATGATTATGATTCTCCATATTTAATACTTTATATTTATTTCTATTTTTGTATGATTTTGATTTTATATATTTAATACTTTCACATTAAATATGAGAAATAATAGCTATATAAAGATAGAAATAAATATAACCATTGAATCAATATAATCAATTTAATGATGAAATTGATTGGTAATAATATTGATAGTAACTCTAATTGATTATTACAATATGGTATTCCGATAATAAAAAATAAAACAGAAAGAAAGAAAAGTTAGAAAGAGAAAAGTGAGAAAGAAGACGAAAAAGGAAACATCAGTGTGATGACAAGAACACATTTCTTTTGGGTTAGCAAAACCATTATAACAAAACTTCGGCCAGAGATTGCTTTGTTTCCTCGCTTTATTCTCTCTCTCTCTCCTCTTTCACAGATGGAGTTGCTCGATTTTTCTCTCTTTTGGTAAAGACCAGCATCCTTCATTGTTAAAAAATTCTTTTGCTTTGTAACTCCAAGAAAAAAAAAAAGGAAAAGGAAAAAACTTTTGCTTTTTTCTCTCTTCCTCTGCACCCATTTTTCGGAAATTCGACTGTTAACGTTGTTGCATCCTCGTGTTTCATTGTTCCTCAACGTTTTTCAGGACAAATTTCATGTGGGGTTTTTGTTGATCAGACCCAGATCCTGTTTCTGTCTGATCCAGCTTTATCATTATTTGCTTGTGAAAATCCTTACAAAGAAGCACGATTCAAGGAGGAGCAGGTAAATCTTTGTTACCCTTTTGCTTACAGTAGTTGAATAAACAAGTCAAAGTTTCTGGGTCCTTATTGTGCCACACAAGTTTTGAAATTTTTTGGTTGGTATTAATCAAAATGGGAATTTGCAATCTTTTCTCTCTCTCTCTCTCTCTCTCTCTCTCTCTCTTTTTCTTTTTTCTTTTTGTTTTGTTTTGTTTTTTTAATTTGTGATATGTATTTGTTTCTCAGTATAAGTGTGAAAGTTATTTTGAATTTTTTTTTCTTTGGTAACGGAGGGAGGGAAGGGGGTTTATTGTGCTTGAATCCTGGTTTTGGTATTTGGGATTTGGTGTAATTTTGAGCTTGGGATGTCTTTTTATGTTTCAGGTTTGTGTTAATAAGAAGCACCATGGATGTTGATAAGGATTTTTTTGGTGAATCCTATGGCTTCCCTCAATTAGAGTGTTGGGTTGATAAATTTAGTAAAGATCACACAGTCTTATGATGTCTGAGACAGAAGTAAAGTTGAAGATAAATTATTGTTTCATTGGGATTTTTTTTTCTGACTGGAATTGAGTTAGTGCACTTGCTTGGCTAACTTGGGGATTAAGCTTGCTGCTTTGATTGATTTGAAGGAACTTCAGTAAAGAGTGTGTTTTGAAGTGCTTGACAAAAGTATTTTGTTCAATCAATTTTAAGCTATGATCAAGCAGATATTAAATAGGCTCCCTCGGAAGCCCTCCAAATCAGTGGAAAACCGTGAAGGAGGGGGAACATCAACATCCTCTTCAAATGCTTCAACCAGTGCAAGAAGCAGCGATTTAGCAGGCTACCGAAATGGAAATTCCACTGCTTCACCTCTTTCTGGTGTTGATTCTAATTCGAGTCTTGGACTGAATCATGGTGACAAGATTGTCCAAGCTGTGAATGCAAAACTGAATCTGAATGGGAGTTTGCCTGCGGCTTCCTCCTATGAAGCCCTGCCAAGCTTTCGAGATGTTCCAAATTCAGAGAAGCAGAATCTGTTTATAAGAAAGCTGCAAATGTGCTGTGTTGTATTTGACTTCACTGACCCTACAAAGAACCTCAAAGAAAAGGAGATTAAGCGACAAACACTAGTAGAACTTGTGGATTATGTTTCTTCAGCTAATAGCAAGTTTACGGATACTATGATGCAAGAAATCATAAAGATGGTGTCTATAAATTTATTCCGGCCATTGACTTCTCCGCCCCGTGAGAACAAAATTCTAGAAGCCTTTGATTTGGAAGAGGAAGAACCTTCAATGGATCCTGCATGGCCTTACTTGCAAATTGTGTATGAACTTCTCCTAAGATTTGTCACATCACCCGAGACTGATGCTAAGTTAGCTAAAAGGTATATTGATCATTCATTTGTTCTCAGACTGTTAGACCTTTTTGATTCAGAGGACCCCAGGGAGCGTGATTACTTGAAGACAGTTCTTCATCGTATATATGGGAAGTTTATGGTGCACCGACCATTCATTAGAAAAGCAATCAACAATATATTCTACCGTTTCATTTTTGAAACTGAAAAGCACAATGGGATTGCGGAGCTCTTAGAAATTTTGGGAAGTATAATCAATGGATTTGCTTTGCCGCTGAAAGAAGAGCACAAGCTGTTTCTTGTGCGAGCTCTTATTCCTCTTCATAAGCCAAAATGCATACCTATGTACCACCAGCAGCTATCTTACTGCATCACACAGTTTGTTGAAAAAGACTGCAAGCTTGCTGATACTGTTTTACGTGGATTATTGAAATACTGGCCCATTACAAATAGTTCTAAGGAGGTTATGTTTTTAGGGGAGCTGGAGGAAGTCTTGGAAGCAACTCAGCCTGCAGAGTTCCAACGATGTATGGTACCCTTGTTCCGCCAAATAAGTCGTTGCTTGAGCAGTTCACATTTCCAGGTTTGGTAATTTTAGTAGCTTTCATCGGCTTCCACTTTCTCTTTTGTTTTTTGTGATAATTTCTCAACCCCTCAAAATAGAAGAAATAGAAAGTTTGCTTGTTGGCGCCTGATTTTTCACTTAGGGTGGTCGAAATTTGGCAAAGAAACCACTTTCCATATTCAAATAATATCCTAATTTTGTTGATTTTGTATGTTTAAACATGAGACATGGGCCTCAGTAGATAAACTATAATGTTGCGGAAGATAATTTGATATTTGGATTACTATGACTTATACAGGGAACAGTCGCAAATATATTTTGGCAGTTTTCTTAAATTTGTGTTCATACATACTCTCACTTGTAATTATAATATCACTTTTGACTTAAATTTCTGTGAAATTTTATTTTGAAAATAGATTGAGGATATTGGTAAGTGAAACATTCTTATGTTATGCTGTTTCCAATGTTTTATGGCCTTCTCCCAGACTTTCTTTTTGCTTTTCTGGTAGATTTTCTGAATGTGCGGATATAGATTTTGATGAAATATTTGTGGTCTGTTATTGCTTTTACAATTTATTGTCCTGATGATGCTATATGGGTGGTCATTTGGATTATATGTTATGGACTTGAGTATAGCTGTGTTAAATTTTTGGGTGTGGCTTGTTGGGGATTCACATAGACTGCACTGGAAACTCAACCCAGCACTTGACTTGATTTTTGAAAATGCAACTATCGTGAAAATGTTATGGTTTGGGATGAGGAGAAGATGTTGTGCATATTTATCTGTGTGGGGATGGTCATTGAGAAAGAGATTCTTCTCTATCTTTTGTATTCACCAATGTATTCTAACTTCCTAGATGTTAAGCAGTTGGCTAGGGGCACATTCCTTATAAGGATATGAGCTAGAGTTATTCCACTTGGTGTTTATCATTGGCTATGTCTTGTTTACGAGACTCTAGTGGATGATCAAATTCATAGAAAGCTGATAGCCATTTGAAAATAATGTAAAGTTTAGTAAAAGTATACAATAGATTTTATGCAGACTAAAATAAGAGTATGGTTACTTTCTAAACCTCGCTTAGATGTATTCTGCATAATTATTGTAGTTTGTGGAGTCAAAATATACCTTAGAAACTTTCATGTCAACTTCAGAGTCATTCTTTTTCCAGTACATTTATTGGAAATGTAATCCCTGTACTTGGTGCATACTGTTGGAGGAACTTCTTCCTGCTATTACTCATGCCTTATCTGCTGTCATATTGAAATACAATCCTCCTAAAGTTGCATTTCCTCATCTTTCTCTTTCAATACATAAACTTCTTTCTCAACTTCTCATTATTTAACTAGTAGTGCAGAATTAGTCACTCGAGATTCCCAAATTGCAGTTGAAGATGCTATTTGTTCCATCAATAAAATAATATACGGAATGCACAATGTGTATGTTTTACATTGAAAATTATACTAAAGAAAAAAAAAATTGGGAAATTCATGCTGAAAAATTCCTACATTTTTCCTCTGAAATGTCTTCAGAGGAGAGTAGGAGGAAGTCCCAATGGAGAAATCATGTCTGGGCAATGATTAGCATTTTTACCTTATGTTGTTATTAAAATTATTAAAATATATACTCCTTGTGATCCTTTCCTTTGGTCTCATACTCCTACTATATCAGCTTAAAATATTTTTAAAAGATTTTAAGAAATTGTTAGGACAAACAATTGGAGTTTGCTTTATTAATAGGATAAAATGCAGAGAACTTCCCTTATTTTAGGTCTTTGGCAAATGGACGCCCAGAGTCTTTTATTTTGGTAATCACACTGCCCTTCAATTTTAAATAATTTCTCCATAGCTAGTTGTGTTCTTGCTATATGGGCAGCTTGAACATCTTGGTTTCTGTTCGGAACAATAATAAAGAAGTTGGACAAAAGTTATGGAGAGTGTATACCAGAAAAAATAAGAGAAGCAGTTAGACAGTTAATATGGCAGTTGAGAGAGTTAGTTCATAGTTGGATCAAGTGGTTAAATAACAGAAATTGTATAGGCCATAGGGGTTTGTCTTTTGGAAATATTCTGTACCAGGTATCTTGTTCTGGTGTAAAAGGGAAACCCTTGGAGGAGGTCTCTGTCTCCTTAGTTCTTAGAAATTCAATATGAGAAACTACTTCCTCTTTCTTTTTCTCTTTCTCTATCTCTTTGATCCCCCATCTCAGCATCTCGATCTCCCTATAAGTTCATATCAATTGGTCTGACCTGCCGGATCGCAATTGGAGGAAGATGGTATCTCAAGTGGAGGTGGAGGCTTTGGAGCATTCGATGGAAATCTTGATAAAAGTGGCAACGCAGCTATTAGAGATCATAAAAGAGTGTCAAGGGCATTAATGAAATCAGGCAACCTCTTGAACGCTGGATTCAATAACAAGGTATCCCTCTTGAGGAGGACTCTGGGGAGAAGTGTAATGCAACACGCGAAATAGGAGGGTCAAAGAGAGCTCCGATGGTGGCATGCCACCCATTCTTGGGGAAAGGTGGGATTGCCTACTTTTAGCTATGGTGATCCTCTTGAATGGATAGCCAAAAGCTGATAAGTTCTTCGAGATTCTGCAAATTAAGTTAAACCCTCCAAGAAAGTTCAACTCGCATTTAGGAAGCTATAGCACTTTATAACTACGGCAGCGATGATAGCCATGCCTCACAAATTCAAATGCTTATGTTGTCCAGCCTTAATAGCGTGGATACTTTGTTAAATCAAGTTATTTTCAATTGTGATACTCTGACTTCTATATATATATGTATATGTGTGTGTGTGTATGGAATCTTGAAAACTTTATTCGGCAACAATATGTGCAATATTCTATTTTTGGCGGAAAATTTCGAAGAAAAGTAAAGAGTGGTAAATGTTGGGCCATTTTTGCAAATAGACAAAATGGAAAATGTTGAGGCATAACTTAGTAATTTTGCAAGCCGCAAAGATCTCGTTCACTTTTCTCTCCAACACATTTTCACTCTCCTCTTCCACCTAGCATAGGTTTTGGATTCTTTGCTTTGACATAGGCCCATAATTTAGGGGGTGTCTATGCATTTTTTCCCTTGTTAATAATAATCAAACCAGTCTTCCTGACATAGTGAAATCCTAAGTGATTTTTCTAGTACTCTGTAAATATCTTCCTGAAAAAGCAGGCGAAGTTGTGATGCATTATTCTGGATAGTGGATATTTTTACCATCATTTTGTTCCTGTGCTCTCATATGATTGCTTGTTAATTTGCAGGTAGCAGAGAGGGCTTTGTTCTTATGGAATAATGATCACATTGAGAGCTTAATCAAGCAGAACTACAAAATTGTACTTCCCATTGTCTTACCTGCTCTGGAGAAAAATGCGCGAAACCACTGGAACCAGGCCGTCCAGAGCCTGACATTGAATGTGCGCAAGATCTTCTCGGACACTGATCCTGAATTCTATGAGGAGTGCATGATCAAATTTCAGGAATATGAAGCACAAGAGAACGATATGAAGTCAAAGCGCGAAGCCAGATGGAAGCGCCTCGAAGAAATGGGAGGCATGAAAGCTGCAACCAATGAAGCAGTTTTGGTTTCTCCCAGGACTGCCTCTCATGTACCTTCTGGCAAGGCAAGTAGAGCTCAAATGGATTGATCCTTGATTTTTGGCATTGCAGGGTTGAAAACATGAGAATACAAGGGGGTTGATGATAATGTGTTGCTTTTTGTTGCTTCCATTGGCCACATGATAAACTCTCACAGGGTCAAATATGGGGTGCAAAATAGCTTTAACTTGGTTTTACAAGCATGGAATGTATATATTGGATTGCATGGACATAAATGTATGCATCAAGCTGCAATATATCTGGGAATTTGCTTTCTTAAAAGCCTTTGCAGTTTCAAAATGGCTTGAGTGAGACGTTTAATGTGCTTTCATACTTTACTTTGATGAAAGCATTGCTCCATTTTTTGTCACCAATGTTTATTGTTGATTTTGGTTCTTTTGTTGTAGGTGAGTTGGTTGTTTAAGAAAATTGGGTAATTAGAGCTTATCTTGTAATGGATTGTGGTCAATGCTCTGTATTTGTTTTATATATGTTGAAAGCAAATTATTTGGTACGTTTATTATTGCTGACAAAAAGAATTCAATGGATCGTTTTATTTACTTATTTTTATTTCTGATTGGTATAAGAAAGTTTCTTTCTTATTCTTATAATACCTGGTGGGAAGTATAATTGGCCTGTTTAATGTTTACTGTCGTTTTTAATTTTTTATTAGGGAAAAATATTTCTGCAAGTTAATGCAGATAAATTATCTGTATTTATTTTCAAAACGACGTCGTTTTGAGATTGAAATCTTAAAAAATTATAAATATAAAGACTATTATAATTCTGAAATAAATTAAAATTACAAAAATATTATGATTTTTGTCCCGAAACGATGTCGTATTGGGCTTACTGCATATAATTTATTTGCAGTAATCGTAGAAAAAGATCGAACCCTTTTTATTATCCGGGAAATGTTTGTAAATATAAAGCAGCATAGGGAGATTGAATTTGAATTCTGCGGGCTTTCATAAAACGTATGCCATATGGAGTTAGGATTCTTGAGATCCTAACGTGTTTGATTTTATCTTAAATCTTTCATAAATTTCAATTAAATAAAATATAATTTGTTTTTGACGGATAGTTGTTGAGTAAATGAATGCACTGTTAATATTGACAGCTAGAAACAGTATAATAGGGATTGGATCAAAATTATATAGTAGAATTCATTAATGAAATTTAAGATAAGTTGCTGCAAGTTAGGTTGGCGATCGATGAACTCAAAAAATAAGAAAAAAAGAAAAAAAAAATGATATTAATATGAAATAAAAAAGGATTAATATTTTTCATGTTTTAATTTGTAAAAGATAATTTTATTCATTACAGACACATAAAAGTATGTGAAACTTATATTTTCTTTTTCTCTCTTTTTTCTTCACATAGTCCCACATATTTTATGTGTGTAGGAGTTAAAATTTATCTCCTACAATATAAGAAACATTATTTCCATTAAAAATGAAATAAAATGAAAAGTAAGAGAAAAATATATAAGGAGAGAAAAAAACAAAATAAGAAGAAAAAATAAATTAAAAAAAGGTTCACTTTTTCTGCAGTTAATGCAGATAAATTATCTGTAGTAAGCTCAATACGACGTCGTTTTGGGACGAAAATCATGGTATTTTTGTAATTTTAATTTATTTCAGAGTTATTATAGTTTTTATAATTATAATTTTTAATATTTTAATCCCAAAATGACGTCGTTTTGGGAGTAAATGCTGATAATTTATCTGCATTAACTGCAGAAATATTTTTCTGTTAAAAAAATATATGAATCAATCTTTTTATGTTAAATTTCACATAAGAGGGCAATTAAAATTTTTGTGTTTATCTCTTTTTTCATTAATGTCGATAAATTATAATTAGACTCCATTTATTTAATGCATGCTAAGAGAGAGGTACAATTTTTTTTTTGTATACCGACTCTAATTACTTCTTTGAGGCGACCCCTGATATCTCTACAAGTTTCAACTCTTTGAGTCGATTATAAGACTAATGCCGAGTCGGGGCTTAGTCACAGTTATAACTTTTTCCCCTCCCCAAAGATGTATTTGGTGGGAATCGAACCCATGTCTTCTTATGAAATTTTAACATAAGAAAATCTATTCACAATATATATATATATATATTGGGTCAGGATCATTTTACATCAGTGTAAGTTACACTCTTAATCTTGTCCGTTGATCCCACATATACATATATATATATATATATATATATATATATATATATATATATATATATATATGTATATGTATGTATGTATGGAACAAAGACTTAATCGTCTGAAATATATGAAAAAATAGGTTTACCCCTCCACACTACTAATAGTTTTCATCTATACCATCCTAAGACACATAATTGTCCTATCTAGCTATCAATTCATTAAATCTTGTTTTATTACTTTTCTCCAATTAAATTTCGGCCGACTTCTTCCTCTCTTTTTATCACGTTTTTTTATAACAAACTTTTATTCATAAATTAGCATCTAAGGGTCTTCAAACAATATGCCCAAATCATTTCAATCTATATTCTCTTTTCTTTTCAACCACTAGAACAACACCCACCAAACTATCTCGATATATTTTCTCTCATCTTTTCACCCACTAATACTGTAATACATCACTCACCTTTCGTCGAATATATTCTTTTCTTATCTTTTTTTTGTGGTATCTTCTTTTCTTATCTTATTCATCCATGCATGACCATACATCCACCTTAACATCATTATTTATGATACTCTTAATTTGTGTTATCTTAAGATGTGCTAAATTAAATTCCATATAATATTTACATTGTTAGCAAAACATCTCCACCATCATTGTCATAGTCATTGTTACTGGAGTTATCACTACTGTCTCCACCACTAGTGCTAACAAAGCGCCATCAAACTTTCAAAACTTGATTTCAAAACAAAATTAATTAAATAAGTTTTTCTGATATTTTTATTTTATAAAAAAAATTTAAGAAATATAATTTTAATGTTGTGAAAGAAATAAAATTGTAGAGATAAAGAAAATATAGAAATGAGAAATAGAGGAAGAGAATATAGGAAAACTTTTGTCAGACTTTAAGTTTACAATAACATGTATTTATAGGTTAAAGAAGAGTAGATAAAAGGTTAATCACTAGAAGTGGCTACACTACTCTTAATGGAGAATATGTAAAGACAAGAAGATGTAAAGATAGGGAGGTGAAAAATCTACGTTTTTATTTCATAACACTCCCCCTTCGATGTTTACCTTTTATTATATGCTAATTTAGACTGCCTCATTAAAAATCTTTTCAAAAAAACCCAGTAGGATAAAAACTTGGTAAAGAAAAAAAGAATGAAGTGCGTATAACTCTCTTTGCTAAATATTCATTGTTGTCATAATACATTGAATGACCTTGCCTTATCAAAAAACTTAAGCCAGAAAAATCCATTGGGTCAAAAGAAAAAGAGTACAGATCATCATTCATAATATCTCCCCCTTAATTGAGACATATAGCTACTACTGGAGCTAATTAATCTTTCATCTTATGAACTCGTTGCATACCAATGCCATATACTAACTTCTCAAAACTTGATGTTGGCAATGATTTGGTAAATAAATCTGCAAGATTATACATTGATTGAATTTGTTTAACATCAATTTGTCGACTTTCTTGGAGTTCATGAATACAGAAATTTTTTTTTGCGAGATATGCTTGGTCCTATCACCTTTGATATACCCTCCCTTAACTTGCGCAATACAAGCAGCATTCTCTTCATAAATTATAGTGAGAGAATATGCAATCAGTGTTAAACAACAAGAATTGTGAATATGTGTTATAATAGATCTTAACCAAACACACTCTCTTCCAACTTTATATAAAGCAATAATATCATAGTGGTTGGAAGATGTAGCTACTAATGTTTGCTTGGTAGAACGCCAAGAAAATGCAGTACCATTATAACAAAATGCATAATCGATTTGAGAACGAGCTTTATGTGGATCAGATTTATATCCAGCATCAAAATATTCAACTAAACTAGAAGTAATGGAATCCTTAGAATAACATAATCCTAAATATGTGGTTCCTCGGAGATAACAAAAAATATGATTAATTCTATTCCAGTGTCTCCAAGTTGGCTCAGAACTAAAACGTGCCAATAAATTTACCGCAAACGTGATATCTGGTCTTGTACTTTGTGCCAAGAACATAAAAGCCCCGATTGTATTGAGATATGATACTTCAGGACCAAAGATCTATTCATCAAATTCTTTAGGACAAAATGTATCCTTTAGGTATATAGGGACCTTACAACCATAAGGGTACTTGTTGGGTCCGTGGCCCATGATGGATCCAGCCCAAATTGATGATGCTCTAATCTCTTGTTTATAATAAATGCTTAGATGCTGAGCCGTCATAGAGAGATGAAAAAAAGAAAAGAAAAACGGGCAGGAGAAAAATGTAAGCCAGAGACGAAGATTCTCTAAGGAAGAAACTCAGCGCCATCGTGGAAGAAGAAAACTATCTTATAGAGTAGGATTCTCTGTCCTCTTTATAGAGAGAAACACTTGTTTGAGGCACTTATGAGTAGATCTATCCTTTAGATGGTGAGGTTGTGAAGAGCTGAGATGTAGTATTTTTGGAGAATCAGACCGTTGAGGACATCCTCCAGAGGTCCAAAGTCTGAACTATTGTTCGTCATGAAGACCCCGTCTTCCTTATCCAACATGAAGTAGGGGGCGAATTCAATCATCAAAACATTGAAGAAAGTGGACAACAGGAAGAACCACCAGCTGAATGTGAGGAAGTACTAGAGCATCTAGAAGTTTGAGATGAAACAAAATCGGGTTCTGAGGAGAAACCACAAACTCGGCAATCTGGCCGAGTTAGATGCCCTTCCACCAGATATCCTGCAGATGAGTACACAATGGTTGCAAAAGAAGGAGAGCCTTAGAGTTATGAAGAGGCAGTGACCGATGCTGGAAAGGAAAAGTGGGAGAAAGCCATGTAAGACGAGATAAAATCCTTGTATGAGAACCAGACATTTGGTCTGGTCGAGTTACCAGAGGGCAGACAAGCTTTGAAGAACAATTGGGTATACAAACTCAAGGTGGAGGAGAATAACCCAAAACTGAGGTATAAAGCTCGAATTGTGGTGAAATGGTGCAATCAGAAGAAAGGCATAGACTTTGAGGAGATATTCTTACCAGTGATCAAGATTATGTCAATTCAAACTATTCTAGGCATAGAGGCCACTCAAGATTTGGAAATTGAATAGCTAGATGTGAAGACGACATTTCTTTATGGAGACTTAGAAGAAGAAATATATCTAAAATTTTTGAAGTTTCGAGTAAAGAACATATAGCATGCTGACTTAAGAAGAGCATGTACGACCCAAAGCAAGCACCCTGGTAGTGGTACAAAAAGTTTGAATTCTTCATGGCTCCGCACAACTTTAAGAAGACTCAAGCATATCATTATGTTTTTATTAAGAGGTATGGTGTCGACTTCATCATCCTCTTGCTCTATGTAGAGGACATGCTAATAGTGGGAAAAGACACGAGGAAGATTAA